ACCTGCACTTCTAAGCCCATAACTTTTTTACAGCCATCTGATTTACTAATGGCATACTTCCCAATGATTGTGGTTAAATTCTCTAAAAATCAGTGTTTTCAACTAGGTTTGTATTTTGGGGTCGATTTTTCGTCATTTTAATGATGTTACCCCTTTTCAAATTTTCGAAAAAAGGTTTTGCTGAAAAGTCACCTAAAACCTGCACTTCTAAGCCCATAACTTTTTTTACAGACATACTTCACTAATGGCATACTTCCAAATGATTGTGGTTTAATTCTCTAAAAATCTGGATTTGCAACTTGGTTTGTATTTTGGGGTCGATTTTTCGTCATTTTAATGACCCCTTTCCAATTTTTCGAAAAATGACTTTGCTGAAAAGTCACCTAGAACCTGCACTTCTATGCCCATAACTTTTTTACAGACATCCGATTCACTAATGGCGTGTTTTCAATTTGGTTTCTATTTTTGGGGTCGATTTTTTGGTCATTTTAATGATGTTACCCCTTTCCAAATTTTCGAAAAATGGCTTTGCTGAAAAGTCACCTAAAACCTGGACTTCTAAGCCCATAACTTTTCTAACAGACATCCGAGTTACTAATGGCATACTTCTAAATGATTGTGGTTAAATTCTCTAAAAATCTGTGTTTTCAATTTGGTTCGTATTTTTGGGGTCGATTTTTCGTCATTTTAATGATGTTACCCCTTTCCAGATTTTCGAAGAATGGCTTTGCTGAAAAGTCACCTAAAACCTGCACTTCTAGGCCCATAACTTTTCTAACAGACATCCGAGTTACTAATGGCATACTTCTAAATGATTGTGGTTAAATTCTCTAAAACTCTGTGTTTTCATTTTGGTTTGTATTGTTGGGGTCGATTTTTCGTCATTTAAATGATGCCACCCCTTTCAAATTTTTCGAAAAATGGCTTTGCTGAAAAGTCACCTAGAACCTGCACTTCTAAGCCCATAACTTTTTTACAGACATCGGATTCACTAATGGCGTGTTTTCAATTTGGTTTCTATTTTCTTACAGACATCCGATTTTTTCCGATGTCTTGTAAAAGAGTGGCTTAAAATTGGTCTTCGAGAGTCCATACCTTTACCAAATTTAAGCCGATTCCAAAGTGGCATACCTCTAAAGACTTGTGATTCCATTCTCTAAAACTATGAATTTAAAATTTTTCAATTGGTCTTCGAGAGTCCATAACTTTACCAAATTTAAGCCGATTCCAAAGTGGCATACCTCTAAAGACTTGTGATTCCATTCTCTAAAAATCTGCATTTAAAATTTTTCAATTTAACGTTGATCACATTTTTGACCCATTTTCATGTTAGTTATTTCTAATTTTCCGATGTCTTGTAAAAGAGTGACTTAAAATTGTTCTTCGAGAGTCCATACCTTTACCAAATTTAAGCCGATTCCAAAGTGGCATACCTCTAAAGACTTGTGATTCCATTCTCTAAAAATCTGCATTACAATTTTTCAATTTAACGTTGATCACATTTTTGACCCATTTTCAAGTTAGTCATTTCTAATTTTCCAAAGACTTGTTAACGTGGACCCAAAATTGGTCTTCAAGAGTCTATACCTTTACCAAATTTAAGCCGATTCCAAAGTGGCATGCCTCTAAAGACTTGTGTCTAAATCTGCATTAAAATTTTTCATTTAACGTTGATCACATTTTGACCAATTTTCATTGTTATTTCTAATTTTCCCAAGACTTGTTAGCGTTACCAAAATTGGTCTTGGTCCATACCTTTACCAAATTTAGCCGATTCAAGTGGCCCTCTAAGACTTTGATTCCATCTCTAAACTTATGCATTTAAAATTTTTCATTTAACGTTGATCACATTTTACATTTCTGTTAGTTATTTCTATTTTCGATGTCTTGTAAGTGACTTGAATTGGTCTTCGTCCATACCTTTACCAAATTTAAGCCGATTTTAAAGTGGCATACCTCTAAGACTTGTGATTCCATTCTCTAAAATCTTCATTAAAATTTTTCAATTTAATGTTGTCACATTTTGACCACTTTCATGTTGTATTTCTATTTTACTTGTTAACGTTACCCAAAATGGTCTTCAGTCCATAATTTACCAATTTAAGCCGATTCCAGTAGCATACCTCTAAGACTTGTGAACAATTGCATTAATTTTTCATTTAATGTTGTTCACTTTTGACCCATTTTCATGTTTGTTATTTCTTATTTTCCAAAGACTTGTTTAACATTGACCATTGTTTGAGTCCATACCTTTACCAAATTTAAGCCGATTCCAATTGGCTTATCTAAGACTTGTGATTAAACGTTGATCGCTTTTGACCCATTTTTTTCATTTCTAATTTCCAAGACTTTGAACGGGACCCAAATTGGTCTTCGTCCATAACTTTACCAATTTCAGCCGATTCAAGTGGCATACTCTAACCCTTGTGACTAGTCTCTCAAAATCTGCATTAAATTTTCAATTTAACGTTGATTTTTGACCCATTTTCTGTTGTTATTTCTAATTTTTCCAGACTTGTTTACGTTGCAAAATTGGTCTTGGTCCATACTTTACCAAATTTAGCCGATTCAGTGGATCCTAAGACTTGTTCATACCTAGACTTTTGATTCCATTGTCTAAAATCTGCATTAAATTTTTCAATTTAACGTTGACACATTTTGACCATTTTCATGTTATTTATTTCTATTTTCGTGTTTTGTAAAGAGTGACTTGAATTGGTCTTCGTCCATACCTTTACCAAATTTCAGCCATTTCAAGTGGCATACCTCTTAGACTTGTGACTACACTCTCTAAAATCTGCATTAAAATTTTTCAATTTAACGTTGATCACATTTTTGACCCATTTTCATGTTAGTTATTTCTAATTTTTCCAAGACTTGTTTAACGTTGACACAAAATTGGTCTTGGTCCATACCTTTACCATTTAGCCGATTCCAAGTGGCATACCTCTAAAGACTTGTGATTCCATCTTCTAAACTTATGCATTTAAAATTTTTCAATTTAACGTTGATCCTTTTTTTTAGTTATTCTATTTTCGATGTTTGTAAAAGTGACTTAAATTGGTTTGAGTCCATACCTTTACCAAATTTCGCCGATTTCAAAGTGGCATACCTCTTAAGACTTGTGACTACACTCTCTAAAAATCTGCATTAACATTTTTCAATTTAACGTTGATCACATTTTTGACCCATTTTCATGTTAGTTATTTCTAATTTTTCCAAGACTTGTTTAACGTTGACACAAAATTGGTCTTCGAGAGTCCATACCTTTACCAAATTTAAGCCGATTCCAAAGTGGCATACCTCTAAAGACTTGTGATTCCATCTTCTAAACTTATGCATTTAAAATTTTTCAATTTAACGTTGATCACATTTTTACACATTTTCATGTTAGTTATTTCTAATTTTTCGATGTCTTGTAAAAGAGTGACTTGAAATTGGTCTTCGAGAGTCCATACCTTTACCAAATTTCAGCCGATTTCAAAGTGGCATACCTCTTAAGACTTGTGACTACACTCTCTAAATTTAACGTTGATCACATTTTTGACCCATTTTCATGTTGTTTTATCTAATTTTCCAAAGACTAGTTTAACATTACCCAAAATTGGTCTTCGAGAGTCCATACCTTTACCAAATTTAAGCCGATTCCAAAGTGGCATACCTCTAAAGACTTGTTCATACCTCTAAAGACTTTTGATTCCATTGTCTAAAAATCTGCATTAAAATTTTTCAATTTAACGTTGAACACATTTTTGACCCATTTTCATGTTATTTATTTCGAATTTTCCAAAGACTTGTTTAACGTGGACCCGAATTTGGTCTTCGAAAGTCCATAACTTTACCAAATTTCAGCCGATTCCAAAGTGGCATACCCCTAAAGACTTGTGATTCCATTCTCTAAAACTATGAATTTAAAATTTTTCAATTGGTCTTCGAGAGTCCATAACTTTACCAAATTTAAGCCGATTCCAAAGTGGCATACCTCTAAAGACTTGTGATTCCATTCTCTAAAAATCGGCATTAAAATTGTTCAATTTAAAGTTGATCACATTTTTGACACATTTTCATGTTAGTTATTTCTAATTTTCCGATGTCTTGTAAAAGAGTGACTTAATTGGTCTTACCTTTACCAAATTTCAGCCGATTCCAAAGTGGCATACCTCTAAAGACTCTAATGTCATAAGGATCGGCCGCATATATCGTATAGCTGCCATACAACTGATTGATCGGAAATGCCATAATTGCCAATCAGTTGTATGGCAGCTATAGGATATAGTCGGCCGATCCTTATGACATTTGGTAGGTCGGATTGATTAGCCAAATATGAAATCCATAGAAAATCCCAACTTCCTTACTTTACAAACACCAAAGTTATGACATTTCCGGTCAAACGGTTATATGGCAGCTATAGGATATAGTCGGCCGATCCTTATGAAATTTGCTAGGTCTCCGACCTGATTGGCCGAAAAATATGATATGTCTTTCTTGCCCCCCTGTTCCCTCCTTTCTAAATTATATGAAGTACTTGATTTTATATAAATTCATTTTCGAATTGACCTTCAACTACTTGACATTTTATTTGCCATTTTAATCCTATTTCCTGCACCGTAATTCAATTTAAAAATCCCAACTTGCTAACTTTAAAAACACGAAAGTTATGGCATTTCCAATCGGTCAGTTATATGGCAGGTATAGGATATAGTCTGCCGATCCTTATGAAATTTGGTAGGTCGGATTGATTGGCCAAAAATAAAACCCATAGAAAATCCCAACTTCCTAACTTTACAAACACCAAAGTTATGGCATTTCCGATCAATCAGTTATATGTCAGCTATAGGATATTGTTTGTACTTGGAACTTTTCGGATTGTTTTTAGGCAAATATATTGTTTCCTACCGAGGACAAAAAGAAATTGTTACTAATCAGAGCACTTATGGATGCCATCAAGATATAAGATCATCATAAGTAATACTTAAAAAGAATTTCAAAACAAATGCATAAATGGTTTATAAACATTTTAATTTTCTGTACAAAAGCCTTATTGTAACCTACTTATAATTTTTAAAATTGTCTGGAAAAGAGCCTAAAATTTATTTTCATATTAAATTATATTACATCTCATATAATAGTCGTTCGTATTTATAGAGTTCATATGTACACAGGTCTTATTATAAAATATACATAGGTATTTCTGAATTGATAATGAATGTAACTGTTACATTTAATTACAAAATAAAATACATATGTATCTTTTTGTTGTGTTAGTGATAGCAACTACAATATTTTTTCTTAAGTTTTAAGCTTTTCTATGGTGTCTTATCTACTTTGTCCAAAATCATTTTCCCGAAAACTTTTAATTTTTTGCACAAAGTATGACTCTAGTGTCTCAGCACATTTATAAAACGATGATTCCTTTGGGTTATAATACCGGCAGTTGTCAAAGATTTTTGTCATATCGCCAATAAACTCGGCTAGTTTTGAGTAGGCGTTTGATTCGAGTTTGGTTTCCATTCGTTTGAGATCTATGAAGAAGTATAACATTTTAAGTTTAAACATATTACTTATTTTACTTGTAACTTACCCATGGGCTCTTTAATTACTTTGTAGTAGTCAGGTGCTTCCTTCGGATCAACCGGCTCCATAAAAGGCCAAGCACTTTTGTGAACCTAATAAATAAAATCAAGTTTTTTTTATTAGTTTATTAGTATTTAAACGTTGAAAATTTTATCGTTTGACTTTGCAACTTAACTGCAAGATTTGTTAATACTCAAAAGGTTTTCTAAAATCATTATCTAAAGCACGTGAGTCTTTCTAAACAAGGTTTATAGTGCAGAGTCTTCTAATTAAAATATTCATTACTTACAAAAAGAAAGTGTTACAAATGCGCGGCTCAGCGTAAATGTACACTGCATTTCTGTTTAATTAATTAGAATTAAAACATTATAAAGATTATAATAATTTTAGATCAGAAGTCTCAAATATGTTGAGAAAAGGGAACAAAACATTGTCTTGCAATTTGGTGTAAAATTAAATTTGCAATTCTCCTTATAAAAAATATTGAATTCAAAATTTTTCGAAGACATTAAAATCGACAACAAAGATGTTTATGGCAAAGTGATAGCAGAGTAGATAAGAGATTTAAGGTTATTACCTGTATTTGTTTAATCAGGTTCTTTAGCTCTTCAATTTCATTGGGGGAAAGTTTTTTGATATTATCAGAGTTTGAATCTGTTTTCCGCTGGCATTCAGGGCACACATATTCATCAATAAACTCCGCTTCACTCTGAAGTATTCCGACGCAACGTCCATGGAACCAATCCTGACATTTATCGCAGCATATGTAAAACTGCGACTCGTCGTATGGTTGACGACAGCTACAATAAAGCTGCTGGGTTTCTCTTGCTTTCTTGCAATCAATGCAAATAAATTCCGCGAGTTTTTTCGAAGCTTCTTCGGTAATACTGACACAATCACCATGGAACCAATTGCTGCATAGGTCACACCCAACGTAGAACCTAAATTAACCATTATAAATTCTTTAATCAAGACAGTTTTATAAAAAACAAGAAAGAAAGCCAACTTCGGTAAGCCGAAGTTTATATACCCTTGCAGATATTACAAATCGACTACATTTCGATTTCTATGCCTATAATCGCGCTGCATTTTGACATTGTTTTTATAGCAGCTATAAGAAACAAGAACAAACAAAAAAATTAAAAACAAAGCTATAATTTTTTTGCATTTTTGTCCCAATTGTTTCTATAGGAGCTTATGATATTGTCACCCAATCCGACTCGTTCCGATTTATATACTACCTGTAATAGAAAGACCACTTTTGGGAAAGTTTCAAGCATAGGGAATAGTTTGCGTAGAAACGGACGGACGGACATGGCTAGATCGACTCTCCTAGTGATGCTGATCAAGAATATATATAATTTATAAGGTCGGAAATGTCTCCTTCACTGCGTTGCAAACTTTTGACTGAAATTATAATACCCTCTGCAAGGGTACAAAAATTGTAGGTTAGCTTACTTTGTGTCATCATATGGAGTACGACAAATGCAGTACAATTTTTCCTTTTTTCTGGGAAATTTCTTTGGTCTGCCGACCCCAAATCTGCTGTTCTGCGCATTGGCCTCTGTCCTGCGATTTTTACTCAGTTTAGTTTAATAAGTCGTTCAATAACACAGAATATTACAAAAAAAAAAACACTTATATAATTACCGTTTAAAATCCATCTCAGGATCGCAACTTCTTTCATTTTCGCTCTGTTCTTCTGGTGAAGCGGTACTTAGGGAGCGAACGTGTCGTTGAACTTTGGTTTGAACATCTTCGTGTATTTCATTTTGTAAATTACGTTCTAGTAATGAACGTTTGCGTAAAATACTTTTTTTAAGCAGTTCCTTATGGCGTTCCAACTGCAATTGCTTTGCTTCCCCAAATTCGGTCACTTCTTCATTGTGCCTGCGATTTTTTTTAAAACTTCGATTAAACTGACTACTACTTGTGATAGCATTTTGACGCCATAATGAAGATCGAATTTTCCATTCAGCATCATCCCTGTTGTTATCGCCTGGTAAAAAGCTGCGGCGATTTGGAATAAGTGTCTCTTCGCTTGCACTTTCTCTTGAGTCTAATTTCCAATCATCATTTTCTTGTTGCTTCTGCATATAAACAAGTTTTTCTTCAAGTTCCGGACTCAGATTACCTTGTTTAAGAGCATTTGAAATGGCTGAAAAGCACAACATTTTTATTATCTAAAAAAATATTTTTTAAATAATACTTACACTTTTGTATATAGCCACTGGTTACAACATAGCTCTCGCTTTGCTTTTTTTCTAATATATTTTCTGTGGGCTCGATTTCAGAATGCTTTGCTGGTTCGTTATGATCTAAGCGCTCTAATAGGGTAGATGTACCGACAAAGGGCTGGTTAATTGTTTTATTAAAATTGTCTTTTTCTGCACATTTAATACGCTCCTGCTCATTGCCATTATTTATGGAATTAATTATAATAGTCGGATTGGCTTCGAAGGTTGCTAGCGCATTGGCGTCGTTGTCGACGTTGTTAGTCTGCAATGAACATCGTTTAAGGTCTTCACTTTCATATTTTAGGCGATGCTGTTCATTATTGTCTTGATCTTCAACTAGAACTAGATTATACATTTTTAATTTTTTTGCTTGCAGAATTGGCTTACAACTAATGTTGGTGTGGCACGCCAAATCACTTATTGAAATTCTACCTTGGATTACTTCATTTAGGGATGTAGGTTCAATTTGATTCGGCGGACTGCAGACTACAATAATTTCATCATCATAGTCTTCTTCTTGCATTTCATGCAACATATAATTCGAGCTCATCACACAAGCAATTGATACGCCGCCAACAACCTAATTTTTTCCAAAATTGTGGGATTTATTCAGAATAAAGAGTTTCATTGCATAAATATAAACGTATGCGAAGAGTTATTTAATTTGTTGACAGACACACCTACCTGACTTTAATCAGAGATCAGTTGTAGTATTTACTCCAGGCAACCTTTTAATGTGTGTTATTAAAGTTGAGAAGTGGTCGTAGTTGGCGAAGAGATTAACACGTAGTTAGGAGTTGTAGTTGTTGACACGCGACATTAAGGCATGGTTAAAAGTTTTTAAGCAGTAAAAGCATGATTTTTATTTTAAGGTATTTGACATTTTGTATTACAAAGATAGGATAGTATTGAAATTGGATTTAAAATTAAAATGCGAACTGTGGCAAAGAGACCATTATCCTATGAAAATAGTGAAGGGCTATTTGAGGTGTATGTTTTGCGTGTTATTGCCAAATTTAATTTTAGACAAGTGTAAACTTCATTTCGATTTAGATGAGATGATTATAAAAATGATAAAGCCTTTGTGTTTATTTTGAAGAATATCATAAAAACTAGCTCAATCGCGACGTAAGCACATGCGATTATATGGAGAATTCTTTCTTTAATTTGCCATTTAAGAGAGCGAGACTTGCCTTTGATTTGTATAACTTCAAATATGTCAGCCAACTAAAACTCTGCGTGGGGTTAATCTCTTCAGAAATTTGTATTTCGAGTTATAAAGAGGGAAATTTAATTTGGCCATTGAAATTCCGACCAGTTTAATTTTAATTCAATAGTTTGCACTCGAATTCAACTGATTTCTGATAAATATTTAAAGCTTATTAGCTCTGTAATTTCTTTTCTTACACTGATGTATAATTTATGTTTGAAGAGTTATATTCATACCTATATATAAAAAATGCGCTATTTGTCAACACAAAGGCCAATTTGAACATAATCATCCAACTAATTCAGAAACAAAAATTCACAGAACCTCCTTTTTGTGACTTTATTGGACATGAAAACACGGAAACAAAAAAAAATGTATCTTTCTTAAAGGGTTATGTCTGTCTCTTTATAACATGAGACACGCCCTAAAATTCGTACAATTGTAGATTTTTTAGAGTGTCTTTGTATATAAAATAAAGCAAGAATGTAGACCGATAAAGTCTTTGTCACGTAATATTTGTAAAGGGATAATTTTATATTCGATTTCTTTATTTATTTTTTAGGTATTTTTAATGTATTAATTTAATATTGATTGTCAATCGGCGTTTTACTTGCTTTAGATAACAGTTTGGCTCTAGTGATAGTTATTTAAGAGGTATGCCTACTTCAAATTTTCTTAAAACTTTGTTTTTATTATTTGAAAGGATATCTGAAACTATGTTTACAAATTTATGTCGATCCGATCAATGTTCGATACAGATTCAGCATTCCATAGAATAATCCGTTGATTAAAAGTAGAAGTCAAATCATTCTATAGTCAAATTTTTTTATTTTATTGGTAAATTCAATACATTGAAATTGATTATTCAATGTTTCGTTTTTTTTATCAATAAAATAAAAATGAAGTGTAATTGTTACATACTATTTTATGTTGAGTATCAGCGTTTTCGTTTTAGCTTATGGGAGCTAACACAAAAGCACTAAGCAACAAAATCATATAGTATTAAAGTCTCTAAAAACATCACCTTTAATGTGAAAATCGAACCTTAAATATAAATTATAAATTTAACATAAAACAAAGGTTGACAGTTGCAGCTTTCGTAAACAAAATTGATGTAAATTGCAATTATTGGCCTTTGAAAAATAAAGTATTTCAAGTATTTCAATAGCCTTTATATAGCATACAAAATATATAAACAGTTCAAAAAAATTTTCACATTTTTAAATAACACCATAAGCATGGATAAGTAAGTTTATTCGAACGAAAAGAAACAGAGCTGGTCACAATTAGTGTGGTTGCATTAAAGGTTTTATTGCAAAAAGCGCTTTACATTTTACAATTATTTTATGAATTACTTAGAAACCAAATGTCCCCAGGCAAGAAAATCTAATCGCAGCAGCGTTGTTCTAATACTTTTGCCTTTGTTTAAAACATTAGATGATAGTCTTGATTATTTCTTGTAAATATGCCTAATGTGCTTGCTACTCACTATTAGATAGTTACTTATATTTAATAATATATTCACATTTTAAGCTAAATACATTGTTAGATAATTGAAATTTAATGAACAAAATAAATATAATCATACTAAATGGTATTTCTAAACATCAAGTTCCCTACTTTTAGAAATAATGGTTGAATAATTATGTTGCAATAAAAAGCCTTTGTATATAATTCAATAAAAGTCTTTGTTGCTGTACTTGGAAAAATACAATTTTTATAGATATTTTCTTAGGAATGTATATAAATGTGTAAACACAAATTATCAAAAATAAGTTTATTAAGAACCAACAAACAAATTTAAGGTACCAAACGAAACGTATAAAATTGACAAGTAAAGCAGCAACATGCCTCTCATGTTTAATGAAAAAATTAACTAAACATAGATTAGAACAAGAAACAAATTGGCATTTCGGTCGAGATTCAGCAAATGTGCTTCTAATAATCCTGATCTATTTTTTACTGCTTCTTTCGCATTAAAATTACAACTAAAAACTACTCACTTGCTGATGCGTAGCCGATTGGTGAACTGGGGTAAGTGGGGGTGGTTGTGATTGAGCTGCAATTTCCGGCTGTACCGCCAAATATATTTTTGTTGGGCCCAGAACACCGAGTTTGCCATTTGACTCTTGAGCTGAAATGGTTACGACGAAGACGTGAGTTGATTTATTTTTATAAATACATTTAAGCAACTCACTCACCCTTCATCAATTGCTGCTTCACCTGTGTTTGCACTAGTTGCAATTGTTGAGCCGTGAAGTCGTTGCCTACCAGGCCCTGTAATACTATACGTGGCCCATGCTCTGTTTGCAAAACTTGAGCGGTGACACATTTAATTACTGTTCCAGGAGGCTGATTCTGCAGAAGACTTTCTTCAACACTTAAGGAATGCTGTTGGGCTTGTCCCTGGACAGTCTGGGCAACAACAGGCTGTTGAGTGATTGAGCTAACGCCACTTTCGTAGTTTGTAGTTGACTGTTGAGAAATTTGCTGCTGCTGGATAACGACTGGCTGGGGAGGGAGGCCTTGCTGTTTGACTGGTGAACTTTGTGGACTTGCTTGCGGAACTGCAGTGATGGAATTATTTGTTACGATGTGAGCGTTTCCATCGCCTTGATGTTTAATATGTGCTACGATTTGCGCCTGATTATTTCCCAATGGTTTCACGATAACTTGTTGACCGTTTACAGTGGCCACCTGTAGTTTGCCTTGGGCTAACTGCTGAGCTAAAGTCGAGTTTGGAACTAGCACTTGTTGCGTACCAGATTCAATTCCATCTGTGGGTGTGATCTGTGCTTTTTCTTCAATTGTTTGCTGTGATTGTTGTTGAACCACAAGCTGTTTGACCAACTTTGTTTGTGTACTTGGTGAGGATTGAACAATTTGGTTTGATTGCACAACAAATTGTTGCTGAGGCTGAACAATATGCTGTTGTTGCTGCTGGGTTTGAATCTGCTGCTGAACCATTTGCAAAGCTTGGCTCTGCGGCACGTTTCTCTGAGTAACTATAGTTTGACCGGGGCTCAAAATTATCCGTTGGCCTCCAACTACAATTTGCTGTTGCACGTTGCTGGTGTTAACAATTTGCTGAATTACTTTTTGCGTTGGTTGACTTCCGACCTGGTTCATTGAGATTTGCTGCTGAGATGACTGTTGAATTTGTTGTGAAAGGACTTGGGATTGTACAAGTTGCTGCTGTTGAACTGGTGATGTCCCTTGTTGTTGTGCAGGTGAGGTGGATATTATAACCTTTTGCCCCTGTGCGTTTTGACCTACCACCAATTTTGATCCGGACTGCACGAATACTTGTTGCAGATTATGTCCTGACGAACTCGTATTAACCACCTTTGAAACTATCTTTTGCACAGACGGCGATGAAGATGTTGCTGATGCAGATACTACTGAAGCTTGCTGTTGCTGTTGGGCCAGCAACAATTTATTCTTAATTTGGGCAAGCGGTAAAGCTACACGCTGTGACGATGCTACGGATTGAGTTCCGGAATTTTTCGTGAGATGTTTAACTGCTATTTGTTTTATAACTGGTGTTACTGGATTTGCAGTAGTCGATGCTGAAGTTACTGCTGGTGATGACGGGGTAGAAGCCGGCCTAATGGGAACTTTGATTTTATTTCCTATAAATATTAACACATTTTACAATAATTAAATTCACATTTTTTATGGTGAAACATACCTTGAGCTGCATTTGATGTAGTTGTGGTAGTCAGCACATGCAATTTCCCATCCGGCATTTGAACAAGCTGCTGCCCAGGGTTTAATCCGCGTACGCTGACCTTGCCATCTGGTCCCCTTATAATTTGTACCTTATGTGGTGTGGGAGTAGATGAAGAAGATTGCGTGCTAGACATGCTGTTTATAGTAGGGGATGCATTTGCCGTCGCTGGCGTGTTTGGTGCTGTTGTTGCTGTCCTAGAAACTTGTGTAACTGCTTGCTGTATGATTCGCGTTGTGCCATCAGGATTTTTGACTATGACACGTCTACTACCAATAACTTGGCCCTTAACTAAATCGTTAAAATGCAACCGTTAAACTCAACATTCATGGATCATTTAGAATAACTTACCTGGGGTCACAGAGCGAGTGACTTCGCTAGTGCCGACCAATTTTCTTTGCTGATGAACAGCGCGTTGCAATTTTAATTGTTGTTCCATTTTTTCCTTTACATCATCGCTCGATTTTGGTGCCAAATGAACGCGACCAGCGACCCCTGGAGTTCCATTACTTGAAGAGCTTGAAGCATTAATTCCACATGTCTCCAATTGTCGGGATGCTACAGATCGCGTGACTGCTGACAAGCGTGCCTTTTCTTGTTTTTCTCCAATAAATTTAATTTCCCATAATTCTAGTTTATCTTCCTCGACCCATTCTTCAGTAATTTGAGGCTCAGTTGGCTGGGGGGACTCAGCGCGCTTTCGTTTCCGCAGTCCCGACCTTATAGAAGTTACTTCTTCAAAGGTAATAAGAGAAAAAAAAAATATAGATTAAAACAAGAAAGGAAAGATAACTTCGGGCGGAGCCGAAGTTGATATACCCTTGCAGAATATTCTGTAAATTATATTCTCCAAAATTATTCATATGATACATTCTTAATACTTATAAAAAATCCCAACTTCCTAACTTTAAAAACACCAAAGTTATGGCATTTCCAAGTGTTCAGGTATATGACAACTATAGGATATAGTCAGCTGATCCTTATGAAATTTGGTAGGTTAGATTGATTGGCCATACAAAATACCAACTTCCTAATTTTCAAAACACCAAAATTGTGGCATTTCCGATAGTTCAGTTATATGGCAGCTATAGGATATAGTCGACTTATTAACTGCGTGCAAAGGAACGAAGGGTGTGTGCAAAGTTTAAAATCGGTATCTTTAAAACTGAGAGACTAGTTCGCGTAGAAACAGACAGACGGGCATGCTTATATCAACTCAGGACGCGATTCAGATCAAGAATATATATACTTTATAGGGTCGGAGATGTCTCCTTCACTGCGTTGCACACTTTTGACCAAAATTAAAATACCCTCTGCATGGGTATACAAATTGTATATCTGAATGTATACACGTTTTAAAACTCACCTCTTATAGTCTTAGGCATTTCAAGTGGAATGACCACTTTACGACGCAAATAGCTGGTTTTTTCGCCATAGCGGCCTGCATGTCGAAGTTTTAACAACTCCAAAGTTACAATTTCGGTTTCTGTTGTAACCTGATGCTTTCCATCGGTGGAAGGGGGCTTCGTTATCATATCGTCCCAGCGAAGACACGACCACAATATTCGTAGCTGAAGAGCTAGACTGGATAACGAAGTGGCATTAGATGTGCGATAGGACCAGCACGTTCGGAAAAGGGGACGCGAGCACTGATATTGCCAGATTGTGTTATTTTTTGCAGCGTGATGAAAGCCATTGGTTGATGATTTTCCTCCCATACGCGCCAGCTTAAGCAACTCGAAACGCGGCAGCACCAATAAGCTTCGCTTCTTTTTATGAGTAAGGAAATTTGAGATAAGAGGGTAACGGGAGTATAATGGCTTTTTGGAAATTATCATTTTATCCTCAGTTTTTACAGCTTGCTCGTATAACTTGGATGTATTATTAAGAAGGTATATACGACCCCGGGGTGAATTAGACGAATAGACGCGTTCTGTTCCATTCTTAAAATATTCCCGTTCATATTTTTTTACGCATTCACGCTTTACCGGACGTGTAGTGATTGGAAATCTGCGGTTCTGTTTGTTAAGTGGTATGTCCTTGTCTAACGTCTGATCCAACACATCTTTAGTACCAATATAAGTTTTTTTAGATTTTTGGTTACGTTTTCGCCGCCATCCGCTTGTCATATCGATATCTTCTGCGTTAGCTCCTAAACATGCCGAGTTTAAGCCAGCGATAATTGAGTCTTCAGTACTCTCAATTTCAACATTACTGCAAACGTCCATACTTTCGATATAATCCATTTTATCGGAGTCTTGTGTGTTAGAGTCAGTATTTGTATTGCTTCCGGCACTTGGATCATCTTCTTCTTTGATACTGGTTTCGGTTGCGCTGCCTTGTTCAAACAGCAAGCATTCAGTTAATAGTAAATCTGTAAAAGAAACAGCATGCGACCGAGCATGTTCCCAGTCCTGAAGTAAATCCAACGGCGCTTCGAATTCCGATGGTTTTCCTTCTTCTGACTCATCAGTTGCTAGTTGATGTGATTCTCTCTTGCCTTCAGTGAGTTTTTGCTCGAGAATAGATGGCTTTTTAACTGCTCCCAGTATAGCGGCAACCGTCTCTTTTGATCCGTTTCCCGCAGTATGTGCCTTCCGTAACAAGAGCAAAAGTTCTTTCTTTGCTCTCGCTTTTTGAAGACACAATGGCGAGTAGCAGGTATTTTGAGTTATTTGAGATACAGCATTTGAATTTGTATTACACTCCTTTGTGTAACAACGAAAAATCTTAGCAAAACGATTAAGTTGGCTAAACTGTAAGCGCACTGTTTGAATTTGTTTAGCCAGCGAATTAACGAGTTCCAAGTTTACGTTTGCAGTGCCTCCCTTTGCTGGAACTTCAGTAAGGCGGAGTAAACGCTTCTCTAGATACGTTTGTTTGTTAATGGTTGCAACATTTGGAGATGAAATTACAAGCGGCTTTATATCAGTGACATTATTACAAGCTATCTGCTCCTCGACCTCGGCCAGTTTAATACGACGATCCAACAGATCATCTAACCGACATTTGCGAGCCACTTTTGGATAGTAACTACGCCCTGGAGCACTAAGAGCTTTACTGACATCGATGTCTCCCTGGATTTTTTCTTTAACGTTTTCGATAACTTTTACGTTTGTATATTGCTCCGGTAAATAGTGACACACCTGACCATCGACATTGCTTGACTGACATTGTTGCATGAAGCGCTGAGTCCGAGGGTCGACCAATATAATTTCATTAACGGTATTTTCCTCTCCCATGGTGTAGTGCACATACACCCTGTTGTGCACCAGAGGTTGGACTCGTCGGGCACGAACACCACAGCGTCGGCTGCTTGAGAGCCAAAGCCAGCCCCATTGTCCGTGGACACGATATTCTTCTCCTTTTTGCTTCCAGACTTGATGTTTTAGACCCAGTGTATATTTTATGTAGTTGAATGCTAGACGATTGCGTTCTTCCTCATCATCACGTTCGCGTTTCTCCCGCTTTTCCAGCTTTTTTCGGTCTTCTCGTTCGGCGCTAGTTATTCGTTGCAAAGTTGTATGACCAAGTTGCTCATGCCAGACATTAGCAAAGACAACGCTCTTTAGGGACGATTGAAACAGTAACAAAACGGCAGCAAAATCAGATGCGCGACGGGCGTTCATCACAGCAGAATTCCAAATTTTCCTGTTGACCACCCAGTTTGTATTTAAAAAAGAGGGTGCTATATTGGATTCGAAGTTTATCAAAGTCTGTCTAAGTGTTGTGATCATGTTTTCGGTAGTCCCCATGGTAATGCCAATCCATTTAAAGTCGGAAGCAGTCGTTAACGAAAACTTGTGGGACAGATGACGCCGCTTGTCGCGTTCCTCGTTTCTTTGCGGCTTGTTAAGGGCAATTGGATTTGTTGAATACTGGTTAACATAATTTTTGAATCCTTGCTCCATACCAAGTTTAAAATGAAGCGTGCCATTACTCAACTGATTAGATTTCTGACGCGTAACCATTTTGCATTCTTCCTGTTTTTTTGTTCCCTCCACTGAATGTGTTTCAGATTTGGCATCACCATCTTCAGTTTTCTCATCCATAGCCTCTTTGTCAAATATTTCATTTGTAGCCTCTTGTTCAATTTCAATTAAACTTCGCTTAGTATGTTTATGCTCGTTAGTTAAGGTCTCAGTCAGTTTCATTTGACGCTCGATGTCGCATTGGCGTTCTGTTAGCTGGCTATGCAGCCGAGTTTCAAGTTCTTCAGAGTCCAACCGGTTAAGTAGCAGTTTTAATTTACTTGTCGTACTGTAATACCAACAAGTGCAGTCGGCCTGATCCTCTATAAAAATACGACGTGCAATAAACCAATATTTTCGGCCATGACGATCAACACCCAGGCTGTCATGCCGAATAAGCACGCCCTGTTTTTCCTGCGGCAGCACGCAATCCATTACTCCACTAACCTTATGGGATCGGCAAAGCCCGCACTGCCAGTCCTCAGTAGGTACGTCATTCATTGGCGGGTCCACACATTCCAAATGATAGACAGCAGGGCACGTTTCGCAGCATAATAAATCGCCGAGTCGGTGGCATACGCGGCAATGGTCATCATAATGTATGGGTCCTTCCTGGAGCATTACATCCCGTATGGAATTGGCGGTTAAATATTGATCTGTCAGAAACTGAAGCACTTCAAGTCGGCTGTCAATGCCTGTGTACGGGTACTCAGTTTGTCCTAATATCTGGAACACGTTGCGATCAAATGTCTTGTCACTTTCCACATAGCTGCGTAAAACTTCCGGCCACGTGATTGCGTCAATTAGGTAAAGACTTATATTAACCGTATCCTTCTGATCCAGCGGCCCGAAATGTGTTCCCTGTGCGTCTTCTTCGCGTAAGATCGCCTTTAACAACATAACATGTACGTCTGTCAATAAAGCACTTTGCTCCTCACAAGCTAGGGCAGCGCAAAAGTCTTCAAATCGGAATGGCGAGAGGCGGACCAAGTGACGAAAACGTCTTAGTACTTCATAAATACTGAGGGCTCTCAAAACATGGACATTAGCTATGGATAGATCCTCGGAGGAATCGGGCAAGTCAAGCGCTGCATATTGCCTCCCTTCCTGCAGCCATACAGGTTCTGGGCTAGGCGGTCGTGGAGGACGACCAAGACCGTTCTGATTGAAGCTACATACGGAGAATTCAGATTCACTCTCGTTGACCGCTTCCAGGCTCTCGTCGTCGCTAGGTGTAAGTAGTATGTCATCTTCATTGTCTGATTTGTCTTCTTCAGAATCTCCAAAATCCGACCCATAGTGATATTCTGACTCGTATCCTATAATACAAAACAAGTAGCTCTATTAAAATAAATATTTTTACCTTTTATTTTTCAAGCGAATGCCTAAAATATAACCTGTCATTTTGTTAGTCTACTTTGGTACGGCTGCAGTCCTTTTTTTATTTTGAATCGGGCTTTTTTCAATGTGGTCAGCGTGTTCCAGTAAATTCTGAATTCAACAATATTTGCAATATTTGCAAACTCTATTAAACCAACATTATTTTCTTGATATTAAAAGAATATACTACCTCATGTTAGTGATACACAAGCACTTAAATAAAATTTTTCAGTTGTATAAAATTTATTGATTTGTGTTTTTTTTGTAAGAATAAATTTATTACCAATTTTGAATCGCGTTGGTACATTTTATTCAAAACCAAAAATGTAACTTCGGCAAGTTAGTGTGTATATACTTTTAACTACCTTCTATTTCCGAAAAGGTAAATGGGATATAACTTTTAAATTTCTTTACTTTTTGTCAGGCCGGCACACACCACAAACGTAAATATTTTTTTTGCAAAAAGAAGCAGAGCAAAACTTATTCACCAGTTAAAGAAAGTAGATCGTAGAAATATTCCCAATTATAACCTTCTTAAAATGTACGAGGCAAAAACAATTATTTCGCCTGTCGCTGTAGGTGATAGATGAAAGAAAAGCCGACCAATTTAAAAATACCCTTTTAACGTGGTGATGCCAGCCAGGAAAAAGATGAATTTTTGATGTTGATATCTACGGCTCTAAAAGCAACTGGCAAAGTGATAGTGTTAGGGCAGTCCGAGTCAAGGGTATTCAGTCCGTATCCTATTCTAACTCACCTTTTCTTCCGGCGAAGCTGCTGGTGTTGGGCTGCACGGTAGACTTGCGACCGCGTCCCCTCTTGGCGGCGCTCCCCCGACTGCCGCGGTGGTGGATGTTGTGGCTGCTCCGACTGCCCTCGTCGCTCTGCGGAGAGATGCCCCTGGAGGCCGATGGCGTGCTGGGCTGCGACTTGCCTTCGCTGAGGTACTTGGGCTTCTTGAGCAGCTGGTAGTTGAAGCGTCCTGTAGCCCGCTCATTGGCCGTCTTCGGCGGCCGACCACGTTTACGGCTGCCGCGTCCACTCATTTCTTGTTTTTGCCTGTCTCTGTTGGTTTAACTGGCCTCTGGGCTTGGGTGAGTCTGTAATCTCTCAGATTTGGTTGAGGTTGGAGCCGCACATTAAATCTGAAACGAGAGTTGGAGAATTTATCACAAGTTGCCACAGCAGATCGTTTCTATTCTCATTTAAGGACATATTCAAATATGTACATATTTACTCGATGGCCCATTTGGGAAAAAATCGATCAGATTCCAGTAGCTAATTGCTGGCAGTTCACTTTGTTTAGATCGGTTTTATTTTTCAAGAGAAACCCCGCCAAAACAGCTTGTTTCGCTCAGGATAATATGTAGTTCCGATTAAATCTATTAGGTGTACGCATGTACATATGTATACTCAAAACATTCACAGTTTCTAATATTCTATGGCAAACGCACTGAACAGCACCGAATGCGAGTGTGTTTGTGCCAGTACGAGGAAATGAAGCCAACGCACATTGTCCGCCATTTAAAGAACCGAAAAAATTTTCGCGACTGCCCAAACGCCACTCTTCGTTCAGAAACACATTAGTTGCCGGTGCAGTAATTACCCAGCATGTTGGAAAACAATTGCAGAAGCTTAACACAATATATTAATGTATTTTTAACTATCTTCTATCTTCAGCAAACTGCGAGAAACACTTTTACCTAACATTTCAGTTCTGAACATAACTGGAGACGGTGTACAGTCGGCCAATCACAGCGACCGTTCTATTTCTCGGTGCCGCAAGCGACATCTTGCGGTCGGCTGGGGAACCGGATTGCTAAAGGTTGCACCGACGATATTAACAGGGCTGCTTTCGATATTTACACTGAACAGCAGTGACGGGTGTGTTTCAAAATTGAGCGCCAGATTTCTCAGCGAATATTTAAAATTGTATTTTCAAACAGTCAATACTTTTTTTAAAAAACTTTTTTATGTTGTGTTCGAATGAATGAAAATTCAATTGCCACTCAATGGCTAAAATGGCTTTTCAAAATTCAAGCAGAGTTACAGATATAAACTCGATTTTTTCTCTAGGGGCTTGCAAAAATTTAGGTTTTTCTTGTATTCTTGGTGACTTTTAAATTTTTAAAAGAAAACAGAAAAAGTAGTGACACAATGATAAAAAAAAATGTTTTAAAAATTTACTGTGAGACCTGTAAAGTTATCTACAGAATTCCCTTGGGTAAATTTTGTAGCCCTGTACACATTGCTATCTTATCACCTGCACAACCCGACTCTTTGGCGGAATACCGACTGATTATTCGCTAGTATAACTTTTTTAATCAACCTCAGTGGTTGCATTCAAATAGCTGTCACCAAACTTAAAATTTTTCACGTGTGCGTAAACATGAAGATTTTGTCGTGAATAAAATCACCACAGTATTTGTATAATGAAACTAATTAGATTATACTTAACTAAAAAAGTAAATCATCCTTTAGGGCGTAAACATTAGCTTTTAACGTCATAAAAATGTCATGGGTGTATTTAAAGCAAAAATTATTCTCCGAGTATTAATCAATTCTAAAGAATGTGCTTTCAACTTAATTACACACCAATCTGACGTCATGTGTTTCACAAAGATAACACAGGAATAGACAGATAAGATAAAATTTATATTTTTTCAACAACAAACGACGGTAATAGTGTATTTGTTTACATACTTGTTGTTCTCTCGATTTCGAAAGACTAACAAACAAAAAGTTGATATTTTCAAGCATTTAATAAATACCTTTCTTTGTTATTTAAATTTATATTATTTCAGATCGTTTTAAAAATTATCAATATGATTTTAAGTTATTGGAAAATCATCCTAGCTCTAATCAGTCTAAAAGCGAGCTCAAAAACTTTTGCGCAAACAACAAACGAGCTCAATTTTAGGGAATCAAAAAATTCAAGGTAGGAAATGCTGGTACCTTAAAAGGAAAATAACTGAATTTTTTTTACTTTTTTAGTATTAAACATAAAGACAAATTAAAAGAAACTTTAACTGTTATTTGGGACGAAACTAACTCAACCCCTTTTATGGACGAAAGCTTTTCGACTGAAACGACTACCGGTAGTGAGCTTCCATTCCTTGAAACCACTAAAAGTCCTGTAAAAAAACCATTAGAACCGTCAGACTGTTCGCAGCGTGAAAAATACAGAAAACAACCAATAGCAAAAGAATCGTCACGTCTGCGAAAATGCTGCCCACATGGAGAAAATTTAGATATTTATCGTGAAAATCAAAGCGATTCTATGTGCGACAACGGCATTATAAATTTTGAACCAACTGTTATAAGTGCAGTTCTGTTTGATAACTGTATTGAAGATTTGGAAATTCAGACTTATCTAAGCGTTGACATTGGCAATCCTTGCAACAGGTATTAAATAACTAAAAATAATCTTCGTAGCATAGTAAAAATCGTACTTCAAGTTTAGCTCCCTTCAATATGACGATACGGAGGATGTTTTTTTTGTTTTGCAAGACGGTTCCTTGTTAATTATTGACAAATTTGGCAATGAATCGTACACAGTTGAGGAAAATTACTGCTTGGATATTGATAAGTCAGGACATTTTTTTGCATTTACATGTGTTACACAAGTTGAAGAGCAAATTGCTTTCGCAAAAGTAAGTAATTATTACACTGACTTTACTTTTTTGAAAACACTAATTTAAAAAAATCATTTTAGGTAATTTTTGTTGCCGTTCTAATGCTTATATCTATGCCGTGTCTTCTATTAGTTAGCTACTTGCACATGACACTTCGCTCTTTGCGTAACTTGCATGGTCTCTCTCTAAGTTTGATGTCTATGTGTTTGGCTTCTGGATACTTTGTGCACTCCGTTGTTCACATATATGGAATCCCAAACCAAGGATTTATTGGCTACATTATACAGTTTTGTATTTTAAGCTATTTTTTCTGGTACTTTTTTATATGCTTTAATGTACTTTTAAACGTGTGGTACAAGGTTCCCTGCTGCATTAGGCTTTCAAAGCCCTGGGCAACGTTTAATTTTGCATGTTATACTCTTTTGGCTTTTTCTGGACCTGCTACAATAGTGGCGCTAACAGCTCAAAAGGGATTACCTGGAATGCCATCTTACTTTATCCAAGGCAAGACCACTATAAAAATATTAATTTAATAAATAAACAAAATAATTTTTTATATTTAAAGGCCTCACGGAATCTATAAGAGACTCACAACGTTACTTTATTCCACCAGTTTCCACGATACTTTTTCTTAGTTTCTTGGTAAGCTAATTCAGAAAAAAAAACAGTTTCTAATATTTTACTATCCGTACATCTTCAGATTAACATAATATCATTCTTCGGATTTCAACGTATAAACGGATACGAAAAAACTCAAAAGATAGATGAAGTCCAGAAAAGTTTATTGTTCGATCAACAGAAATACGAAGAAGTAAAAAAGGAGTGAGTGCAGATATGATAAACACTTGAACAATAATTTCATTGTACTTATTTTTTTCAGCGCCAAATGCGTCAGCTTACTTGGAATAATTATGGTCATAAGCTGGCTACTCGAAATAGTTACATTTTACTCAGGATCGAATTCTAATTATCTGCTACTTTGCGACATGGCGAATGGCCTTCAAGGCGTTTGGGTATTGCTTATCTTTCTGGTTGTGCGGAGACGCCGAACAATAATTTTACGGTGGTGGTATGATCGTGGTTCCCACAAAATTGAAGGCACCGAGCTGCAAGCTCTTAATAATAATAACAGTCCCACATAGATATAAAAATATAATATAAATACTAATTTTAAAAGTTTTTTTATAACTAAAATAGTATCGCCCTGTACTCGTTAGGTACAAGGTTTTTTTTAACTATAAAGAAAAGAATCAGGACACATGAGTAACAGTTAAAAAATGTAATGCAAATGTGTGTGCAAGCCAAATTATATATATCCCAACAGCCTTAACAAAAATGTATAGTCCCTTGATTTATTTTTAAAATGTTTAGAAATATCTTCAACTCAAGCTATGCGTTTATGTGAAAAACAACAAAGTCGATTTCCTATTTCTTTTCGAATCTTTACCAGGCCAGTTTATTATATAGTCGTCTGATCCGTTCCGTTTCAATAGAAATAGTTTTGGGAAAATTTCATTGATTGCAATTATAATTCCTTCTGCAAAAGTATACAAATAAAAAACGTAACGCAACAGTATTTTTAAATCAGTTGAAAGAGAATAAAGATATAAAACTGTAGAGAACGTAAAAATATTTCAGTAACCATCAACATTAATTCAGAAAGTATTTATAGTTATTAGCAGTAAATAAAAAAATATCGAAAAAGTATGTTAATTGCGGTTTATTGAGACTTATACATAAATATTAAATGTTTGTTGTCACTTATATGGTCGTATAAATTAAATAGTCAATTTATTGTATGAATGTTTTACCCTCTATGCTAACAAACTAGAAGGAAATGTGTAAGTGTGCGGGCGGTCCGAACCAAAATGAGCCATTTTATATTTTATTTGGGGATTGCGTTTGTAAGTAAGCTGCGAACAAGGCGGATGCTTACGTTTCCTTACTGCTTAGTGGCGATTTCATCATAAGAATAATTGTGTATTTACATGTTATATGCTACGTATATGGGATCCAATTGGTCGGCCAAAAAGCCATCCCGTAAATGCATCCGTTGCTTTTCGCCCCGACTATTAATGGGCACCACACCTAAAAAAAAATTTTTTTTATTATAACTCAACTTTAAAGTTACTTTATATATTTAAACTGTTCGTCTTACAAACCTGGATCAACGACCACAACAACACCAACTATAAGCTGATGATCTTCTAATACTGTGTTTGTGACCAAGGGAACCAAGTCCAAAGCTTCTGATTCATTGCCGTCTAGTTCAACAACTACGACCAATAAATTAGTCCAGGTGAAAACGGCGCTGCGTAAAAAACATGTTTTGAGTAATAATTTTGAACAGATGATTTTAAATTGCTTACCACTCAGCTATTTTTTTGTGACAGCGCATTACTGAATTTTCGATATCTATTGGGTGATAGTTCATGCCACGTAAAGAGATCACTTCATCAACAGCTCCAACTACATATACAGCATCGTGTAGTTCTTGATCGTTCGAATTACCTGCACCACCTATTAGGCTATGCTCAGAGTTTCCACCCAACGAAACATTTGAAAAATTTAATTGCAGTTGACTTATGGAATTTAACGATTCTGTATCACTGTCGCGGCTAGCCACACTTGGTGTGGTCTCGTCTAGTAATGAAGCTGCCTGAGAACATTCGGTACGCCGTAAGAATCCCAAATATCCAGTACGTGCATATAGCTCAGAGGTGGCCCCAGTCACCAATTTGGCGTTAAAGTGATCATTGTAGTCAGTCTCATCGCCATAAATTGTAAAGTATCCATTTGCATTATGAGGAGCTTGCACCTAACGAAATGACAATATATTAGTTATGGTTATAACTCATTTCTCAAATGATTACCCAAATTTCACCCAAATGCGAATCGCCACAGTGACCTTTGGTATCGGGATTTGCTATGATCACTTTCACTCCTGGTAGAAGTTTTCCTGATTCAATTACACACAGTGAGTTTGGCGCACCGCGCTCCACCAAAGCCACGCGATTATTTCTCAGTGCTCGCATATCTACGTACACCTGAGCACTTTCGGCAGAACTAGCACCTTGCACACAAATGGCTGGATTGACACGACATCCGAATGAAGTGGAGACACAACGAGTGTTAAGGCCAAGCGCTTGAAACAGCTTACAAAATTGCTGGGTAAGCTGCACTCTGGGGCGCTCTTCAGCAACAACAACACACGTCCGCACGCAACGCAAGTCAATGTTTCGTTGTTTCAAGGATGGTATGGAATTGCTGAGGGCTTTAGTGCATAATTCTATTACACCATATGAACAAAAAGTGTCGCGAACCCGATGTTGCGAAAGAGTTGACAGCCACAAACTGGGATTTGCTTCAACTTCGTAAGGTGCGATAAGTATTGAATGGTGGCCACTATATACACCAATAAGAGTCCACATTACAAAGCCAAGCCCGCAATAGGGATCCAAGCATAACGCAACATGACGAGAAGGATACAGCTCACAGGCCAATTTTAAACTGGCGCATAGACTAGAGAGAGATCTGTTGGTTTAAAAAAAATTATTGCAAAAAATATATTATTGTAATTTTGATCTAAGTACCGATGCGTAATGTTAACTCCGCTAAGACGTCCACAAGTTGACACGCTGAAATCCAAATATGCGCTAGAGTCAAAGGAGACCGTTGCTAAGCCGGTATATTTGCGTTTTGGGTTGTCATCAATATCCAATATTGGGGGCCATGTCTTTGGGTCAACAGAGGTAGCCGCCTCTCGGGATTTTAGTAACTTAATAATCGGTTGTATAGAGAGTACAATGCCGCTTTTTGAAACGTCAACAATCATACGGACAGTGGGTAACGTGGTATTTAAATTTTGTGGATGCGGAGGCCTTATGGTAATTGGTATCGCACCCAAATATAAGCATCCGTAAAACGCGCACAACAAATCAAGTCCTGGAGGAAATATAAGAGCTACAAAAAAATTATTATTTTACTTTATTAAAGTGTGTATTTTCAAATTCTTACCAACATGGTCGCCTAGCTCAATTCTTCCTCGTTCTTGTAACAATGCAGCTATTTTTTCCGCTCGTTTATGTAACTCGGAGCATGTTAGAGTTTTAGCAATGGCACCTAAAAGTAGAATCTAGAATTTGTTTAAGAATTTACAAGGACTAAACTTACCCTTAGAATTCAGCAATGTAAATATTATGTGATCTGGAGAGGTGTTAGCTCGCCAACGCAATACACCTGTTATGAGTTGGGGCTGTGAATATATCGATTATTCTATTCTTATAAAATTCACAAAACTTTATAAATTGACTATATTGACCAACCTTTCGCTCACAATCTTCAGCCAATCCAACATCCCGTCCATGGGCTTCAGCTAGGCGGTTACCCTGAACTAAATTTCCAACCATCACAGAGGCTGGTCCTACACCCGTGTCTGTAATACCACATCCAGATGATGAGCTTAATTTTGCGGCAGTTTGCACACCTTATTTGGTTTGGGGAATGGTTAGTAGTAGAATGATTTGTTGTTTTTGTACAAGGATTCATTAAATAAATGATTAATTTATGCGGTTTCATTAGTTATGTTGAAATGTGTTTTTGTTGTAGTTATTATACAGTGTTGATATTTTTTGTTTTTGCAGTAAGTGTTGTAGTGGTCATATAAGTAATCGCAGCATTGTTGAAGTGTTGTTGGTAGTTAAAAATAGAGGAAAGCAATATTTGTATTTTAATAAGGTAAATAAGGCAGAGAAAGTCCGACAAAGCCAATTATATAGACGAACGTACTTCTATTAAACTTGGAACTCACCTTGATGTAATTCTCGTGGTTTTGGCAGATTGGTGACGCATGTATGTGGGCACATCAAAACATTCGCTGGGTGAAGCGAGCCCTCCAAAAATCTTCGTCTTGCCTCACATAAATGTATGCCACCGAGAGGAGTCTTGGGCAAATGATTTGGTGGAACTAATGCCAGGCAATAAATTCCAACCTGGTGAATGGAGTCTACTGCCTGAAGAACGCGAGACATCCATTGAAAACTTTCTTCCTCAGAGCAGTCGGGACGTTGTTCAGCTATAACACACACGCGTTCGTCGCGAAGTACTTTAATGCTAAATACAGCTATGCGTCCTCGGTAAATGAAACGCATTGGTTCTACTGCTAATACTGTGGCAATAATGTCATCCGCATTGTGTTTTCGACCGGTAACCGTCATCAGACCATCGCGGGATCCGCAGACGAAAACCAAGCCACCGGGACCAAGAAATCCCAGTAGACCCGATCTTACGTAAAAGTCTTCGCCAAACGGTTTGGAAATTACATTTACCGTGCCATTTCCATCTTTTGGTTGTTCAAATTCTTCCAATAGAGGATGAACTTTAAAAGTAGAATTGGTCATTCCATCGAGACCGAAGTAGCTAGCGCTCGTGGAACCACTAGTAACGCATATTTCACCAACTTGATCGGTTTTGCATAGCACTGGGGCTCCTTCCGATCTTACGACTACCATTTGTGCTGCTGGCATGACTTGTCCACAGTCCTGCAAAGTCAGTGACGTTAATGAATCCTCGCTGTCCACCCTTACTACTCCGTGCGAAAGTGCTGCCATAGAGAGTACCCCACGTCCTGTAGCTGATGGACTAAATCCACAGGATCCCCGTCCAGGACGACGAAGGGAAACAGTAAATACTTCGGAACTGCTAGCACAGGGGCAAATCGCATCTGAGCGTAATCCTTTCGCTTGAAAAACGCTCAAGAACTGATCACACGACGAAAGTGACCAGGGGTTGGCTCCATCGGCTACTAACAGCATACGCAGGGAAGCGAGTGAGATGTCCTTGTGATCCTTTGTTGCTAGTAGGCCCCAATGTAGATCACGACTCTTAACCAAGCAGCAAGAAGCCCGGTGTTTTGTTATTAATTGCATCCAGCTGGATGGTCGCAGCTTCATCAAGGCATAGGGTATAAAAATGACATGCATACCATTCAGAACTGAAGTCAAAACTGAATGCCATAATCCAACTTCACGTTTAAAATCCAAGACACAAACAATTGTTTCACCTTCCGTGTAATGGCAGGCCATAGTCAGAGCACGGCAATGATTAATCATAGCAGCGCGAGTTACAGTGACACCTAAAAACAACAAATTTATAGTTGTTACCTGTGTACTCTCGATGTTACACTCACCCATAACACTTCCTTCCTTATCAGTCGTGTATTCTATATAAGCTGCTGCCGAATCATCGACACGTAAATTGCCGACATTGAATTCTTTGGGTGGCTTTGGTAAATGCTCAGTTACAAACCATTGCAAACGTGGCCAGCCCTTTAATTTAGCTATTTCCCCGGTAGTGGTTGACTTTGGAAGACCTTTTAAGCAAGCCTCTGAGGTTAAAGCTACAGTTATGCCACAAGAACTTAACAAAAATCCCACTTGCTGGGGGGGTGTATCCGAGCTTGAAAGCGGTAACTCTATTGGAAGTGGCACTAAGCCTCGAAACATACATCCATACCAGGCTGTAATAAAACTATACATTTTTTCGATTTAGTTTTGTTTTAAATAAGAAATATGTGTTTTTACTAACCTTAATGGGTCGTTATTAGGATAAACCAAGGCAACACGATCGCCTGTCTTAAGAGTTACTTGTTCAGGACCCTTGCTAAATATTTTTGTTGACAAAGCGTACGCAATCTTTTGCGCGCGCGACAGCAGTTTCCCATATGTTAAGGTTGTGGTTATTTTCCCATTGGGATCGAGGACCGTAGCCATGGGACTTTTAAAAGAATTAGTGCCATATCGTTGCAGTGCGCACTCGAGCGTTCGTGGAAGTCCTGCTGGTATCGACAGTTGCTCGCCTTGCACAGGAGTCATCGTGCTGCCCTCTGGTTTTGGCGCATTCGGATCCTTCGTGTTGGCAGCAATCTCAAGCTCAATATCATTGTCTTCATAGAACTCTGGCAATGGTCGTCGCTTCGGCCTTTTAAGAGTGTTTAACAGTTGCTGTATTTTGGCTGACACTTTCCACTTGCCATTGGCATCTGCCTCGTTTAATTCATTCTGAGTTACATTAACATATCGAGTAACTCTGTCCGCAGCACGATGAGTATTGTTAAATTGTGTGATGTCAGGAGCGTTGACTAATAAAATATCAAAATTAAATTTATTACTTATGCAGTCACTTATAAGCCAATGACACAGATGACATAAAGTCATTTTTTTTTATTGAGAGAAGATGTGTACATAAGCACAAAACATAGATAATCAACACAACTTGTGCCGAATCCAACATCGGGTTTGATTACATTGCAAATACATTTACTTACACTGTTTTTGCTTGAACGCTTTGTCAGAAAGGTCAATCTCTCTTTTGTATGCAATAGGCGGCGAGTTTGTGCTTGAAGTGTCTGATGTTGGCTATTTAAAAAATATATATTAAATACAATCCTTTAAAGTGTATATTCTTTAACCTATACTGTACATAAATAAACATATACGACCATCAAAGCAGTAAATATATTAAATACAATTCTTTAAAATTTACACTCTTAAGCCTGTACTACCTTCTCTATTCTGGGGATAGAGTTTATCAATTATTAGATTACTCACAAGAGGAGGCAAATTTTGCGGTGGCCTTCTATCTGGAGCGCTATTCGATGATGTATACTTCTGATTTTGCATTTGGTTTTGTTTCACGTCCAACCTCGAATGCAGCTGTGAACCCATTGATGATTCACGAATTGGAGGTTTTATTATTGGTTCGGGTGGCAAAATGCTGTTGCTAATATGATCCCGCGGGTAGTTGTACTCCTTGTCAGGGGAAATGGTCTCCTCGGGAATGGATTCGTCATCTGTCGATGAGTCCAGCTCATCATTGCATTCAGGGCTTCGGTTCAGAACAGATGTGCGCTTCGACGGCATCGGAAGGCTGGGTTTTGGTCTGCCTTTAAGAGCTGCTAGGGCCTGCTGCACAGCCTCTTGTCGTACTTCTGCGGATTGACAGCGAGTTCGCAGTAAATTATCGCTGCCAATTTTCACTACTCACCAGAATGATAACGTTTCTCATTGTGCGTTACTTTGCGCTGTGTGCGTCGTTGACGATGCTGACTATTATTTGCTGATTGCTGATTCTGAAAGCCACTAGGCTCGCGAGTATTTTGATAGCCGGGATCGCCGACTGCTCCACCCTGTGGTCGCATATTTTCGTATCCTGGAGCCCCCACATGCCCACCGTGCGGCGTCGAAGACGTCGTGACGGAGGACGACTGGTGGATGTCGATCTTTTTGGAATGTCTTTGTTGCGAGGAGGACAAGGAGGGCACTTCGGTCACATAGCTATAGCCCTCGCTGGACACTATGACGCCGTCACTACTGATGTTACCGTGGCTGCTGCTATTGTTAGCATCTTTGACGTTGTAGTATGGTGGTGGTGGGGTACTCTTCACCTTGTCGCCTAGGGAAAAGAGAAGAAGTAAAGGCAGCTACATGGCAAATTAGTTTAGAGCACATACCCTCAGTCTTTCTCAGGAATGGCTGCAACAGCTTCGCCCGTTTTTTCTCATATCCCTTCTGCGTAATGTCACCTAAAAATGTAGATGGGATGGGTTATCAACAGCTGCGTTAGATCAAATCAGTCAGATGTGTCTGTTCTTATTAGTCAAGAATAGCGACTCAATCATGTACTTATGCTGAACGCCCAAACACACGGCATACACACACTTTTCATTAATTGATGCCTGTCAATGTGTGTGGGGGCAGCAGCAAATTTTATCTAGGAACATAACTTATACATATACAAACTAGTTGGTTGGATATGCGATGTTTTTTTCAAACTCATTCTCATTTAACAACAATTTTCATTTGAATTGCAATCATGCGAAAATTAGTATACCTTCAGAGAGTTCTAAATCCAGCTCAGCGAGTTTCTCGCGGACATAAACAGGCAACGAGGAAGGGTGCTCCATGACCAAAGATTTGTGAGTAGTTTTCAGGTTTTATCGCACTTCCCTTACGGGCTTTTAACTTTTAGCCAGGCCGCAATATACACACCCAAACTTAAACACCGCTCGCTACTTTCCCACTTCGTTGTCAAAAATCGATCGATTGGCATTAATTTCTTTTAACATTTTGCCAAGCCAAATCAATAGATACCGCAGCTTTCGCAGCCCATATTCACCGGGCCAATATTAAATTATGTTTTACAAATACCTATCACGAATTTGCACAAGGAAAGTAAACAAAGAAAAACAGCAGCATAAATCGATTTTAAGGCTAGCGAAAATTTGATAACTAATTTGACCGTACTGCTGGGCAATTGGTCTTTTCCGTGCTCCTATATACGGTCACACTGGTGTAATGTTAATACAACAAGAACAAAATTGTTATTTTCAGAAGTTATCAATGGTTAATTGGACTAAATAAATATATTAATTCATTTTTATTTGATCTTAACTTGTTATCAATTGGAATTGGACTTTTTTTAATTTACATAGCGGCCCTGAAATGTTGCATTTGTGAATATCGATAGCTGGGAAACCATCAAAGGCACCAATAATTGGTAAATTAGAATAACATATTGCAACTAGTTACGACTGTTAATTCATTTCTATTCAAGTTCGTCAACTAATGTACATTGTATGCTCAACCGGCTAGTTACAATCGTGATAAATCTCGACGCGATAGTCTGCCATCGATAGTTTGCTATCCATTGAAAATGCGTGAGTTTTGCTTAAACCGAGCTGGTCGTTTAAAAATTGACTTTATGAATTGCAGAGAACCTGAAATTGCAGGAGGAAATCAAGTCATTGAAGGGCCTTGGCCAGCACTTTAAGGATCAGTTAAAACTGGCGAGCATCGAGCTTGGCGATTTCTCCGACGAAGACCTGGCACTCCTTGACAAATGCGTCCAATACTATGCCTTTTCCCAAATCTACGATTCTAATCTGAATTTTTTGCGCGACTATTACTACGGCAAGAAAAGGGACTGTCTGGAAAATAAACGAACCAAGGTCCAGCAACATTTAGAGCTGCAGCGCATAAAGTCGGCCATCGAGATGGCGGCTAAAGACGTAGCGGTGTTGGAACGGTAATGGGAACTTGAACTCGTAGTCTTACTTGTGACTAGAACCTGCAATTACAGATTTAAAGCGGCTGCGAAAGAGCGACTAATTCCGGACACCGTTGCCTTGCAGCGAAGAAGCCATCAGGTTGCCACCAAACAGGGCTTGTTGGACCGACAAAAAACGCTCAAGATTCCGAAGGACTTTAACATTGAGAGCGTAATTGAGAAGGTGGATTCGCTGGAGCGCCGTTAGTGAATTGCTTGGACTTGGTTTTTTTTAAATTATTTAATTGTATTTACTTAGTAATGCAAAAAACATTTTACAATAACATAAAATCTGCAAATTTAAAAGACAATGTTGAGGTTTACGAGTTTCGCATGCTTCTCTCTTTTTATATAATATTTTTATGGAGGACAAGCGCTTACAAATTTTTCAATTGTTGCTAGGTTGGGTCAAATATTTATTAAAAGAATCATGATGAAAAAACTAAAAAAACAAATAATCTGGTAATTTGCCAGCTTAAAGCATACAAAAAATGTACTGTGTTCTTCCATGCCATTGCTCACATGTATGTATGTATTTCCAATGTGGTATATGTATCATATATATTGGTGTGTATAGATAGAATTAGTAATTTCATATTCATTAAGTTGTTGCTTGTTGTTATGTATATAAAGGGCGGGTATCTGGCAGACAAACATTTCGGCTAGCAACGCGCTCCACGCCACAGGCCTACTCGATAGTTCCTGCCATTTTTTAGCGGAATTCCGGCGCGTCGTCCTGTGTTATATCGCCGTACTTCCAAATGGCCAGATGTGCTGCTAGAGCTGCCTCCTGCGCGGCTTTGTACTGATCCACAAGGTCTTTGAGCTTACGCTCACGACGTTTCTCGGCCAGTACTAGACCCTCGGCGACCAACTGTTTTCCAAAATCGGCTTTAGTGGTTGGATCGTGCAGCGTGGCCAAGTTCGGCGACCCAGCTACCTTCAGTTCTACATTAAGTTGGACCTTGTGGTTTAAAACGTCTTCGGAAAAGGCACGCAAGGCTTCTTCCTTGTCTTCGTTGTCAGTGGGTAGGACGACTAAGGCCAGCGCGTATTCCGTGGCGTACGGTTTTTCGCTACTAAAGGCTGGAGGCAAGGCGGCCAAACGGTTTGTGGGCAGAGTCTGAAATGGTGAGTTTAAATTAGAACAATTTAATTTCTTAATTTGTATTAGATTTGGGAGTGTCGCAACTCAAAGACTTTTGAAGCATGATTTGGACGCCCCCAGCCGCTCTGCGCTCTCTCCTCGCACGTCAACATCCTTCTTCTTTGAACCTTCGGTTGATCCAAAAAATATGGAACTACCTATGTAGCTTTGAAGAGAATACCACGCGACTCGGAACGGGGATCACATTTAATGCAGCTGTAGGGTTTACCTTACGCCCTCATGCCACGCATATAGTCACTTGGAGAAGCATTTTTAATTTTGCAAGCTTATGACTCATGCGTTTCACTTTAAGACGGAAACGGATCTAAGGAACTTGCTAAATGCACAAGTGCTCTATACATAGAGATGGCACTTACCTCCTTGTTGCCATAATCGATGTACAGGACGGTAGCGTTGCTACCCTGAACTCTTTCCACCTTGGCGCGGTACCATTGATTATCAAGAGTAAATTGAGCGGCCACAAGGTCGCCGCGCTTAGGTGTGTACGATCCAGCTATGGGTGGATTGGACAGAAAATCTGCATGAAGCTTGCTCATTAGTGACTCAAGTTTAGATCCGTTGTCCACGGACTGCGCGTAGAATGTCAGAGCTTCGGTAATCTCGGTGACAATTACGTTTTCGTAATTGACTTTGCGCTCCACAACCACCTTGTCCTCCTTCTCCTCCTCAACAACAGTTTTTTCCTCAGGCACTTGCTCCACATAGTTGGCCCAGATGTTTTTCTTGGCACCCTTGGCGCGGTCTTCAGCACTCTTCAGCAGGCGATAGTATTCAGATTTCTCCGCACTGAAGTGTACTTCCGCAAGGCCCTCTTCAACAAGGGCAACTGACAGGTTTGCACCGCTGTCCGTCCAAAGCCAACCGATCACTGAAGATCCTGCCTTGTCGGTGGTATCGATATGCACAGAAACGTCTCGTTGCAAAACACGCTCCCGGGTAAAGGTCAAAGCCTCGTCGCCAAAGGGTTCTCCCTCTTGGGCGGGAACACCATTCAGCGCCGGGCGGGAAGACCGCGGACACGAGATGCCGGCTAGCAGGAATGTCACCAGGCAGCTGTCCTTTGGCACAAACAGTCGAAGGCGCGATCCGCTAGCAACAAACTCGACAATGGCTTCAGTACGCAGAGCACGCTGCCACGACGGCAAGTACTGGACTTTAATTCGGGAATGGTCAACAGTCAGATCGTTTACTCGCAGTGTTGCGTTATCTTTCTTTGCGTGCAGTCCCTTCAGCCCCTTGATGGCTTGCTGCTCGGCAGCAATTAATTGATCATAGGCGGAAGACCTCTGATCGTCGTCCTGCCGGTAGCGAACACATGTAGCCAAGCCCTTAGCCACCATAGCCTCCGCAACGTTTTGACCACCTATAGAGACCGTGTAGCAGTACTTCTCAGGGAAATTTTCACGCGGGGGCGAAATGTAGTCCAGGTTGCACTGCACTTTCTTGTTAATTAGCTTCTTGCGCAGAAACTCGCGTGCGTCAAACATATGAGGAATTTCGTAGAGTGGCCGATAGTTTTTTCCGCGAGGTGGGGCTTTTACGATTTCCTCGCCGTCGGTGCCAACTACCGCCCGTTGGTCACGCGGCGGCCTAATGGAAGAAAAGAAAACTTTCTTCACTTGACCGTTGGAGAGACGTACATTAATAGCATCGCCATTGAAGACCTCTACTACGCTTCCGGAGAAGTCTTTCTCTTTCGAATTGAAAGCGGGGGTTTTTGCCTGATAATCTTGCCATTGGCGGAGGCGTTTATCCTTAGCAACACGCTCCGCAGCACGCAGCTTATCGGCGCCTGAAAAGTGAACGGTGAAAGTATATTAGTAAAGTAAAAACTATAGTTATTTTACGAAATCGGCCTAGCAGAAGTAAATGTAGACGGGGTGAAATGAACGCAGCGAGAATAATTAGTCACCAAATTCTTGGAGTCCGTCCTTTTTTTTGGCAACCGATTGCTAACAGTAAACAGCACAACTATAAGTTATTTACCAATTCGGTGCTGAGCTGTGCAATCGAGCTGCCGATTTGGTTTACAAAAGCTTTATTATTTCTTTTAATAAATTGAGTATATTGTTAAGCTTACCAGTCTTCATAACAGCCATGGACCAGTCAACACACTTGGCAAGTCCCTCGCGCAGCAGCGATTCGGCAATGTTGCCCTTTGGGTACAGAATCGTTCCAATAAAGTTGGAGTTGTTGACCGATTCCAGGCGGATTTCCACATCCCGCTGCAGAAGGCGGGTCTCCACGTAGTAGCGTGCCTCGTCGGCAAACGGAACCTTAACACTTAGGTCAGGCTTGCCATCAGCGTCCAGCTTGACCCCTGGACACCGAATGCCAGAAATCATCAACGTGATGTAGTGAAAGTCGGGCAGCAAGAACGCTCGGACGGTGGAGCCATCGCGCACGTGCTCGATGATGGCCTTAACGGGCTTTCCACCGTAAATGTCGACGAGGTGGGCGGGATTCTCGTGGGCCCATTTAATGTTGCGCACCTTGTCGGCGACATTCGGATTTGTTGTCCACTTGCCGCGGCCAGCGGCACGCGCCTGGTCCTCCAACTCGATGAGGGTCTGCTGCTCGGCCGTGGGACGTCCCTCCCGGCGAACTGACACCAGGCCCTCACGCACAATAGACTCGACCACATTCTCGCCAGTGTCCTTGTCTTTGCCGATCCGCACAAAACCGTACTCCCTATTCGAGTTGGCGGGCTTATCAAACGTGAACGTTACCTCAACACCGATCAGCTTCTTGCGAAGGTACTCCCGCGACTCCCAGGCCCAGGGTTCGTCCTTGGTCTCGTCGCCGCCGGCGCCGGGACGGCGAGCTAACTTCGGGGCCAGGACATGCGAGAAGGTAATTTGTTTTTCCGGGGGCGGGGCACCTTTCGTCGCGCGGATAACAACAGTGTCGCCGGAGAGAACCTGAAATAGACAGAAGGTTGGTGTTGGCGAGTGAGGTTAAAGTAAGTGCACGTGTGGCTAGAGGTGGACGAGATACGATGGCCCCTATCGCAGCTTGGTCCACTGCGGACAAAGGCACTATCGATATTTCTAATATTTTTGTTAAAATTAAGGAAATTTGGGTGAGGAAAAAAAGTGTACTACAGAAACCTATTAACTATAAGACAACATAAAATTTCGTCTTCGTATTTAGAACGTGCTATGCATGTTTAATTAAATTAAAAGATAGCGCCTGCGCTAGAATTTTGCCGTATAGTTCCAATCGAAAAATGAAGTATCGGTCTTCGAATTAATTCATGCAGGCCATCAAATTCGGTGATTTGCCCTAACTAAAAACAGGCCGTTTCCAAACCGGTTTAGGGTGCAGGAGAAATTCAGGCACCCTGGGATAAACATAGCATGGGTATACGCTTATATCAAACTGGACACAAAACAAGCAAAGGTCTGTATCCACGAAAAATTTATACGCTATGAAAAGACAGCGCACAAAAGCCAATATGTAAATGCACAGCTATCAAAGCGACGGCTATTACCTGTACGATCAACAGGTTTTTGACTCCCCAAGGGGATGTCGAGATTTTGTTTGCTGGGTGCCAACGTCACCAAGCTAGATTCTGCCCGGAAATTTTGTAACCTCTGGAAATTGATAGTTGTTATCACCTCTGTCGCCGACAAAAGTCCACGAAGCTGACTGAAAATGGTGACCGCACACCGTCGGCTCCCAATTGGTGAAAGTAGGTGACGGAATACGCTTGACCAGGCCAGTTACATTTAGAAATGTGACGGCGTTCTGAACGCCTTTGTATTCATCCAGGAGGTTAGAAACGAACTCGTTTGGCGCACTAATTAAATATCTTCCGATTCGTTGGACGGGGGGAGGAGGAAATGCTCCCTAAGAAAGTTTCGGAGAGCCGCTGCCGGCTAACCCTCCTGGTGTCGTAGCAGTCCCACAACAACACCGCCAGAAACAAAAAAAAATCTGCCAGCTTGGCACCTACTTTCATTTCTTCGGATCGGAAGAGCGTGTGCAACGTGTCACACACGCACCGACGGTATACGCGTCTCTTTCACACCAGTCAGAGTTGCACTCGACCGCTTTGGCCGCCGCATTTGCCACGCTGATGGAAGATAGTAAAGGTTTTACCCGAACTTTCCAGGGTTTAGGGAGCGGGATTAAGTGCCCAAAATGCAATAACAAAAAATCAACCCACAGCCACTTACCTGCTTCACAATGCCGGACAAGGACTTTGAAGGCGCTGGCGGGGCGTCTTTTGCTGCTCCGGCAGCTGTCGCGCTGTTCGCTGCTGTTGCCATTTTCTCTTCGGATGCGGGGAAGTAACTAGCAGAGGGCCGTGGCAATAGACTTCAATTGCGGAATATTGCTTTGATTGCGTTTTGGGGCTTAACACCGCTTCCAACCTAATGAACTTATTGGAGAAGGAACCGCACCGCACACAAAATCGAAAAATTTTCAGTGAAGTAGAGGTGGAAAAACTTCGATGGCAACATCGGTGTCATCGATGTTTTCATTGTCGATGAGTTCTTATCTAACGATTTTTAAAATAAAATGGTCGACATTCGAAATTTGTAAAATGGTCACACCAAAAAAAATGTGTAGCTCTTGTTACCAAAGGCCGTGTTCATCAGATATACATGATTATTGATCCGTGATGGATCATTTGGTTTTGCCGACCGACTTAAAGATTCATTACGCAATCTCAAAAGCAATCGGACTGTAAATTGGCAGTGACGTTGTAAGCAGCTCCAAAAATTCAATTTCAAATGCCTCTTCTATTGCCAGATCGTTTCCGTGCACCACCGAAATTGCAGCATTGAGCACAACATTTGTAAGAACTTCAAATTCAAAAAACTCTGACAAAACATCGATGTTTTTTCCAAAATCATCGCAACCTTACGTATCGATTACCCCAAATCATCGGCTTGGAAATATCAATACAGGTCCGATAGCTGTCCGCCGTTGCATTGCATTACGTGATTCGATTTCTAAAAAAATATTAAAAGCCATTAAAAATGAATCAAGCCGATGTAACAAAGCTTATGTCTCAGCTGCGCATCGCTGTCCGACCCAATAAACGTAATCTGAAAAACGCGGATGGACCGGAGGGGAGGCTGCTGAAGCTGCGTAAGACCGTAACGGCGTTGGTAAAGCACGAGCGCATCGAACTATTCTACAATCGAGCTGATGAGGCCCGTGGCTACGCCGAACTGGTAGGCAACCACCGGGTTATTGAATTCTATGACAATCCATCTATAAAAGCTTTAATTCGCAGCTTATTTCCAATGCCATACGCCATGGGGACCGGCACAAGGCCACAATGGAACTCGCTGATTACTGGCTGTTGGAGAAGCAATTGGTGCACAAGCTCTTCAGGGTGCTGGTTCCGCGCTACGAAAACTATAGTGTTTCTTACACTCGCATGTACAAGGCCCCTCGGGACTATCCCGGTATTTACTACCGACAGTCTGTGCTGGAGCTTCGCGGCAATCCCTACCCTTCGCTTTTGACGGATCACTCTCAGAATCGGAGTCTACTGCACAATGTACTTCTTGACGAGGCAAGGAAAGAGTTCAGACGCCAAAAACTGCCTGAATTAGTTATCTAGTTAGTCCATTGACTCGTTGGCTGCCTCGCAATTATTTAGAGATTGGCAAGCAGATTGTCGCTCAGAAGGCATTTAAGACTTAAGAGCCGTTTTATTATAACTGTTTTTATATACACGAAACAAATTGTTTAAACTCGCTAGTTTTATAAGCCACCTGCTGTCCATTGTCGAACTTATTTTAACAGGCTAAATCTTACTGATATTGCAGTGGCTGAAGAAATCCGCTATCCAAGCTGCAGTTTAACAAGATTAGCGTTTCAAGGACTACATTTCTTAACGGAGTACTTACTCTTCCCAGTAAGACAGGTATCCCGCAACATTTCACAGTGGCTGTAGAAAAATTGGTGCTCATTTGTTGATGTCGCACAGACGGGCAGAAATGGATCACAAGTGGCAATAGCTTTACAGGCTGGGCCGCCGTCTATTACTGGCAGAGACACTGACAGTGCAAGGAGCACTAGAATGTTGAATAGCAGAAACCAAGCCAAATAAATCTTTCTTTCAGATGTACTTGCTGAATTGTGCGTTGTAGGCATCTTAAATTGATAAGTTGTCTCGAAAGTATAGCACCATATCATAAACAAATTGGGTAAGCGGCTTTAAGTTTTGTTAATGGAAGTTTGATACGATCAGAACCTTTAGTTAAAGCTATTTTATTAAATGTTTTTTTTTCCACTCAGTCCCAGATTGTAGGAACCCAAACCTGCTGCCGACACAAACAGCTATCCAACAACTGATAAGCACTGGCGAACCTACGCGCTGATGTATACTAATTCAACCATGTTCCTGAACCCCAAAAGTTGCCATGGAAACAAGCTCGGCACTCTGGCCAAAGAATCAATGAAAACTTCACCTCCACTTTTCACCGGAAGCTTTTGTTCGTGTACTCCCAGAATTCGGTATGAATGGGGTTGCTCAACTGACTGGAACATCGGCTTTGTTTGTTGACCAGTGGTTCGTATTAAAGTGCAAAATCGAGTATGCACTTTAATAATAATCTAATGAGTAAAAATTTAAGCAATTTGTTTTTATATTGTACTTAAAGAGATAAAGTGAAAAGGTCAATTTAAACTTCAGTTCATTACAATATTATTGACCATTTTCTGCGCCTGGTTTCTTTTTCTATATATAAGGTTCCTTTTCCTTATTGTTAAGTGATAGAGCTTATATTTGCACTTCTTGTGGATTTATACAATTTAAAGAAACATGTACGGCCTGTTTAAGGAGGTGTTATAGTGCGTCATCAATTCGATTGTTGAGGTGCGGTTGCAGAACAAAACGACAGCCTACCACGTGAGGCCGGGTCAGATGGCTTAATTACATTTGCATTATTAAATTTTATGACAGCTGTTGAACTCAATAGAGCCTACAAATTGACCCCAGGTTTTTGGTTACGAGGCGTTGCAGTGCCAATTAAGCTGATGCAACCCCTACATCTGACGAGGTATGCGATGTTCACTTTGTCCTTATTTCGTGGCACACAGATTCCGCCTATTTTATATGTGTAGCCCTATTTCCAATGGCTAATCCTCATGTTAAGAAACGAGTTGTAAAACAACATTTTCGATTACAGCAAACTACTACTACTAAATTAGGCACGGATTGCCAAAACATGAGTTGGACTGTGCGCCAGATAAAAATAGGGTTGGGTTGGCTCATACTGGAAGCCACACAGCAGTGAACTAAAGGCCGGCTTTGGGAAAATATCAGCTTCCGGTGACCATTGATTATTCCCCGAAGAAGAATATTGACCAGACAAGCCTTCGCGGCAAAGAAAATCTTATATTTAATCAGGTCTATAGGGACTAATTGGCAAAGCAGCGCTTTATTTTCCTAAATTTCCATTGGATGGATATACACATGCTCTAGGCGAAAATAAATGCGCTTCAAGTAAAGTCGTAGTACATGAAGCGCATTTATTTTCGCCTAGATTATAGCCAACATGAGGTAGTTGGACAACCTGCATTCAGGATAAAAATAAAATATTTAAGTGTAAAACTTGCGCAGCTCATTGATAAAAGCCTAGGCGCGGGTGCGCACTCTCTCAGTACATACGGCGAGAGAAAGGGCTTTCTTATGAGCATAAAATCCTGCAGGATATTATACATGCCGTGGCCTTTTATGCTGCAGTCCTTATATATTTCCATTCAGTTTCGAAGAGTCCTGCAACGAGAGCAGTAGATACAATCTGTCGTCAAAAACTATTCTACGCTGTGTCTGAGTCTGGAGTTGTTTTGTGTGTATAACTAACGGTAGGTCCTCATTTTTATCGGTTGGGTCCAGGAAAAATTATTTAAAACTGTGCTTATAAATTTGTATTCTGTGTCAAAGAGTGCAACAAATGGGATGTATATGTATATTAAAGTTAATAAATTCTTCTGTGCATTTGTGCTATATGTTTATATTGAAAAAAAGGGGCATGGCAATTGCAAGGCGAATTTATTAGAATTGTTCTATTTAAAGATACATACACTAATTATTTCAAACATATCTTTTTTTTGACGGAAATTACTTTTAATGTATCTACCATATTTTTTGTGTTAAGGTATAGGTCTTTTTTCAGAGGGCAGAACTAGGAGAAGTCACACTATGAGAAATAATTACAACGCGCTTTTACTGGCATCGTTTCTAACATGGTCGGGAATGTTGTGCAGCACAGTGTTAGGCACCACAGAAGGCCAAGAAACACCCCTCGCACTCCCTGTGTCGGAGCAGACCCAGCCCACCACAGCAATTCAAGGAGAAGTGTGGGAGGAGGACGATCACGAAGTGTTAATAAGAAACGAACGTGGCACCAAGAGCGACGGTGAGTCGAAAGCTTATTCTGAGTTTGTCCGAGGGCTGCTGGTCCAGGAATTAATTTAGTGTGGTACTAATTTGTCTAGGTTTGTCGTGCCGATATGGCAAGAATCCGTGGACTGAGTGCGATACAAAAACCAATACACGTTCCAGAACCTTGACATTAAAAAAGGGCGATCCACAATGCGACCAAACGCGAACCATTCAGAAAAAATGTAAAAAAGGTAATTTATAAGAACTTCCCAATTATTTTCTAAATTAGTAGTGAACCTGGAAAACATCTCTTCTGTTTCCTGCATCGATTAATATCGTTTTCATTTATTGTTAACAGCATGTCGGTATGAAAAGGGATCCTGGTCAGAATGCGCAACTGGGCAAATGACTAGAGCTGACAAATTGAAAGCTAGCAGTGATCCGTCCTGCGAAGCAACGCGTGTCATTAAGAAGAACTGCAAGCCCGGAAAGTCTAAGGACAAGAGTGCCAAGGAGCAGCGTAAGAATAAAGATAAAGGTCAGTACGCTGGTTAAGAATTTTAGATAAAATACTTCGTTCCCAAATGTAACAAAAAATCAAAACAAAAAAATTACCTCAGAATTTTACTATTTTCCTTACAAAACTGTTTACAATAGCTTTTTCTCTGTTTTTCATTTACATGCAGCTGCTCGCAAAGGACGCGCTTAAGTATTAATTTCATACTCGATAATTTTAAATGCCCCGTGTTGGTTTGCATCACTCCGATGCAAAATAGCTTATGTTGAATAATTTTTTTAATAAATCGATATCAAAAAAATCATAATGACATTAATTGTCTGCTATTTATACCCGAAAAGCATTTTAATTAAATGCACAAATTGATTAATGTTGTTGTTTGGTTTTCAAGCAAACGATAAACTTAATATACAAGACAGTACGTTTAACTGTAAGACGTAATAGCAACTTTGCGGAATTTTAAAATATTTATGCAATGCAGAATAAAATATATTCATACAATACCACACCTACATAAATAAAAAAGTATTTAGTTTTATCCAAAAAGAAAATCATATGTACATCCAAGCCAACATCTACCATTCTCTGAAATGATGCAAACTGGAAAGGCACTTGCCTTATCGAAATAAAGGAAAATTATTAAATGCAGCCTCTTAAATTATGTGACTGTTTACACCACTTCCATAAATTTAGCCGAGTTGTTCTTTAATTGAATGAAAATAATAGTCACCGTAAATTTAAAATGAAAACCAAACAATTAATCTGATTATTGATGTAAAAATTCGGCAAATATCAGCTTCTGTGTCTAATCTCAAAAAAAAACAGAACGGTATTCCGAAAAAGCAGAAAATAAATTTTAAATTCATAGAGACGGTAAAAAGTTTGTCATTCCGGATAATATATTAATAAAACACTTAGTGTAAATATTGTAAAAAAAACGTACTATAGAAAGAAAAAAACTGAAAGATAAAGAAACAAACATGACGGGTCTAGATCACGGATCCGTCGTAGTTGCATCGTAGGCGATTGGCATTTTAAAGTAGTTTCTAACTCACTTTCATTGGGTACAATTAAAATATAAATTTGGAAATACCATTCCCAAAATTATTATACAAGTCGAAATGCAGGCATACTTACATACTTATATTCATACATATTCTGATCAAAAATTATACCATTTTAAATACATGGTTTATCGTTTAAATAAACAGGTATTTAACAGAGAACGTTAACTACGACTTAATTTTTTGTCTGTAAGCAGTTTTACAGCAAAACCCCCCGTACATTCATACCTACAAAGTCAAGAAGAACAGCTCACATACACACAGCATGCAAATTCATAAAAACGTCATCGTTAGGGGCAGTATTTATCTGAGTCTTTTAATTCCATAAGGAAGAGCAAAATCGACTCCCCTAAAATAAAGTTAAATTTGTTTACGTACGTATACAACAAAAGAAAAAAGTAACTGAACTTTAATAAATACAATTATTACGAAAACAAAAAAATAAATAATTTTTTATACAATAATTTAATGGGCTAATAAATATTCTTACAAGGATTGCGTATATCTCTCGAGCAGCAGTTATGGTGTTGTACTTTTAACACATAAGGAGAGCATTTAATTGTTTTTCTGAGATACGACCATGCGCACATCGATTTTTGTTGGTAATGGTAAATCTGCCTTTGTATTAAGGATATCAGTTGAAATGCATTTAGCATAGGGATATAAAACCATTTGACTAACCAATCGAAATTGGCAAATAATATAACGCAGAAGGTTAGAATTATATTATTAATATAATATGAACAGCCTTTTACACTTCTTTCGGGTACAAGCAGGTCCGAATCTTTGGGAAAACTTTTAAAATGTTTCGGAATCATTCTTTGTCCTTATGATCAATTAGGTCCCCAAAGACTTAATTGTAAACGGAAAATTAAAATAATTAATACGTTATAAAACCCTTGACTAAGAAGCACTTTTGTAAGTATCCGGTATCTAAAATCTTTCTCGGTTCTTCCTAAATTTATATGTTCCCTTTAAAGTTGTTTTAGCCAACATGCATTTATTTCTTGCTGTTTATTTTCTTGTCTGCGCCCGCTCTTTGTTTTTTGACCAACATAGATCTGACTCTCTGAAAAATTACTCAAAACATGTTTGGCGGACCTCTCGGAAACAAAATGGAAATGGGAAAGAGAGAAATGTACTCAAACTGACTCAAAACTGTATCTACTTGCTTTTTGATATACATAATTGTAAACTGCTCGAAGAACTCCAATCTGTTACACAATGCGTGGTCATTGTTTACATTTAGCAACTTACTTATGTATGTATCTATGTGCATCCATGGACATAGATAAATTATGGCTTATCTTATCACTGACAGAACAGCGAAGCACAAATTTATTTGGCTTACATTTGTTCCATGGGATTTGGTTAATAGGTGCAAGAAGGTTGTTTCCCTGCATACATAAATATTAAAATTTACCTTTCAATCACAGAATAGAAGGAAACAACATTCTTAGCACATAATAAGGCGTCTGTTTGTACAGCATTAAAATAGCCTTCTAAACTTTCTTATACCATCTAGACTCAAAACTGATACCATTTCCCGCTTATTTACATACATCTTCACAAATACCATCGTACTATGCGGTTCCAGTAACACGTAAACAAGTATTAATGTACTTGAATGTTTTTATCAACAGCTACTTTAGAAACATCAAGAATGTGCTCTTGTAAGCGATAATAGTTATTTATAAATGCAACTGGTTTGGAAAATCATACAGTACAGGAAAAAGAATAAAAATAATGAAGGCAATTAATAATAATCTTACTGTTAATATTCAGTTAGAAAATCTATAAATAGGAGACAAGAGCAGAAAATAATAGGTGTTTATTTAGTGTTATTTTTCCACAATTTGTATCTCTTCCTAAGCTGCCAGATTGCGTACCAGATGAAGGTAGTGTAGTACCTAAATTTTTTTCATCGCTGTGTATATAAATTTGTTGATGTTATAGGAAGCAAGTTTCAGTGCTCTTGCCGCTGCTCTCATTACACTCTCTGGCTTTTTGAGCAGTTTTCGAGCCTCTCGAGCTCCTCGAGTTGTGGCGTTTCGCCCACTCAGTTTGGCCACAACTCTGAATGCAAGCGCGCCGATCGTAAACCGCCGTCTTCAGTGAAGTACATTTCCTCAAAAATTTCCTCCGTATATATTTTGTGGAACCACAGCCTGGAATTTGAATCCACTTGCCAATGACCGGATATTTCCTCTCTAAGATTTGAGTGAGTTTTAAATTCTGTTATTGCGTGTGCGCGCGAAGCATTAGTGCAAGGCACCCCCTTCCTGCTATCAACCAGAGAGGATTCGCGTTGAGTGAAAATGCCATATAAGAGTTTTTAATCTACCGATTTTAGTGGAATGTAGGCGCTAAGTCTTTGAGTAGACTGTAATTGGAAAAAACAGAGTTGGACCGAAATTTGTTTCTAAAAATATAAATATAAAAAATATTTAAATCCACATGCTCGACATATCTCCATTTATTATATAACTCCATAGAAACCAATATTATTTTAACTACTTTAAAGAAAGGTGTGTTTCTAAAGCACATGTTTTGATCTATTAAACAATTATTGCATTTGATTTCTTTATTATATTGACAATACTTCCCTATTGCTGGAAACACTTTTAAATTGGTGTTTTTGTGTCTGTTTAAATTTTGTCGTGTTCGTTGTACACTTCATGTAAATTTTTGGGTCGAAGATTTTCCTTATGGATTAACAGATATTTAGTCACTTTTTGAAGTTTAATAACACTTTTCCCAAGTGCATCAGTTTCTATTATTTTGAGAGCATTTCCTAAGTACATGGCCACATCCAACTTTTTCTGGATTATTGTATTTTTTAATCTAAGCTGCTGCTGAGTATACAATCTCATCATGGGATCGTCTTCTGGGGGTAAATATGAATCTCTCTTAAGAACACTATCGGCCTTTTTAACCGAATCGCAGTTTCTTTGTCTTTGTCCGAGCAAGCTGCATACTTCTGTTTGCGATTCGTGCAAAAAGCTGGGGAAAAGCTTGTTTTTCATCAGGCGGGCCTTACACTTTTTTTTTTCAATAGCATCGCTTATTTTTACAAAGCGCCTGTGTTTTTTTTTTGTCTTTGAGGAACCTCTCTCACTGTTATTCGCCGGCGTCCGCAATAAAATGTGATATCCTGATCTTGTCTCAAAAATATCCGAGAGCTCGTTAATTTTTAAGCGCAAAACATTTTGCTCGAAGCAAAAAGACATTTGAGTAAGTTTAAAGGGGCCCAAGTCACCACCGTATCGAGCAGAGCAGCAATCAGAGATCGCTCTAGCCAATTTCGGAAACTCGATTTCGCCGGCTTTTAATCGATTCCAGGCCTGTGAAATATTATATAGGGCTTCCTCCTTAGTTCTATTCACTTGTCGTTTACGGAATGAAGAAAGTCTATCTGATTCATTGTGTTTCACTAATATGTGCCTGCATCGAAGCACGCATCTACAATTGCATTTACATTCTTTTCCGGCAATTACATTCCATCCGTCGTGTATAGCTCCAATGTATTCATCTGGCGGCAATGTGAAGAATATTTTTCGAGTATTTGTATCATAAAAGTAACACTCCTTAGTTCTGTACGCTAACCTCTCTTCGCAACCGACAGGAGGCTTGTTATACTCTGTGGGTTTAGTTACTTCGCCAGATCCACTATATGGGTTGTTTTCGACGACGTCGCTCCAATCTAGATTTTTAGAGCCCGAACCAGAACAACCGCATGATTTTCCAGAATCGTTTTCTTTAGAAGACGAATCGGAAAGCTCAGAATTTTCAGAGTTCATGCTTACACAATATATAAAGTTCGTGTATTTATATAATTTCAACTCCACAACACTGTTGAAGTTGTACTTTTGTTGTTCTACATTTAGAAAAATTTTTCAATGCATTCTAGATTCCTCGAACTGCCTTCAATTTTCGATTTCTTCCCTAAATGGGCGGTCAATTTATGGCTTTTGCGAGTCACAAACATTAAAACTGCGTAAAATTTTTCCGCCGAAGATATTTTGTAAAGTTAAAGGGAGTAAAAGTGTTTACAAAATAATACAGTACACATGATTTCGTTCAACTTTAGTAGCTGAGGCATTAAGCCATGTCCGTCTTTATTTGTTTATTATCTTCTGATTAAGTTTTTTATAAATTTTAGATTTTCAAAATAGCTATGAATTTTATAATCCTTTTGACCACGGTTCTGCAATTAGTCTTGGTGGTATTGGCGCAGATTCCGTCGTCTGCGGAAGGCAAAGGCATTTCTGATGGCATTCGCCTGGTTATGGAGAGGAGTTCCGGTAATTTAGTACATTTTCGTGCGTCTCGAGGAACTCTGGAGGATGAGAAAGTCGCTTCCACAACAAATGGCGACTCTCACCGCCTCAGGAACAATCGTAAGCCGAACAAGTCGCAGGAGTACTTTCAGCAGGTGCACAAATCGGGTTCTCGGAAACTAGTGGTTGCCGGAAATAGCAGTGCAACAACACAGCACTCACAAACCAAACCCAAACAAGGCCACAAAAACACTGATAAGCAGCAGCGTCAAGGAATCAAGCAGCAGCATGCAGCACATAGCCAACACCACGGAGGCAAAAGGGCAGGACCCAAGGCGAAGACGTCAGAAAACGGTACGAAATAGAACAGCTTTGGTTATAATTATACCCTTGCAGAGGGTATTATAATTTTGGTCAAAAGTGTGCAACGCAGTGAAGGAGACATCCCCGACCCTATAAAGTATTTATATTCTTGATCAGGATTACCTCCTGAGTTGATATAGCCATGTCCGTCTGTCCGTCTGTTTCTACGCAAACTAGTCTCTCAGTTTTAAGGCTATCGAATTGAAACTTTGCACACACCCCTCTTTCCTTTGCACGCAGTATATATGTCGGAACGGCCGGGATCGGCCGACTATATCCTATAGCTGCCATATAACTGATTGATCGGAAATGCCATAACTTTAGTGTTTGTAAAGTTAGGAAGCTGGGATTTCCTATGGGTTTTATTATTGGCCAATCAATCCGACCTACCAAATTTCATAAGGATCGGCCAACTATATCCTATAGCTGCCATATAACTGATTGATCGGAAATGCCATAACTTTGGTGTTTGTAAAGTTAGGAAGCTGGGATTTCCTATGGTTTTTATATTTGGCCAGTCAATCCGACCTACCAAATTTCATAAGGATCGGCCGACTATATCCTATAGCTGCCATAAAACTGATTGATCGGAAATGCCATAACTTTGGTGTTTGTTAAGTTAGGAAGTTGGGTTTTATTTTTGGCCAATCAATCCTATCAAATTTCATAAGGATCGGCCGACTATATCCTATAGCTGCCATATAACTGAACGATTGGAAATGCCATAACTTTAAAGTTAGGAAGTTGGGATTTTTTATGAGTATTAAGAATGCATCATATGAATAATTTTGGAGAATATAATTTACAGAGTATTCTGCAAGGGTATATCAACTTCGGCTCCGCCCGAAGTTAGCTTTTTTTCTTGTTTAAAATTGAAATTGATTATAAGCTTGGCTGTTGGCAGGGTCGACCTGTCGGTACGCTAAAAGCGCTTGGTCAGACTGCGATGGCAAAACCAACATGCGCACGCGAGTTTTATCTCTACGGAAGGGAGAGCAAAACTGCTTGCCAACTCGGACTATACAAAAGAAATGCAAGAAAGGTGGGTACCGGTTACATTCATTTTACAATCATTCACAGCATCCCCACACGCAAAACGAGGATCTCTTATAAAGTGTAATAATTTACAAGATGATTCATTTCCGGGTAAATAAGTCCAAAAGCCTCACCTTATTTAAGTTTGTCGAACTATATACGCACATTGCCTGTGCAATCATGCCCCCAATTACTGCCATGTACCCAGTCATATTGCATCTAAAATTGTGTTTTCTTTTCCTATTAACACTTTCCCTTACTACTTTTTTTTGAGAAATACTGCATTTTCCGTTTCCCGACTTCTGAACAAAATTTTATTTTTCCCATTTCGCTTTGGAAGGCTGTCGTTATGAGAAGGGTACCTGGTCTCAATGTAACGCTGGGCACATGATGAGGGAGGATAAGTTACAAGCTGAGGCAGTCGGGGGTAGTGATCAGAACTGCGATCCCGTGCGTACTGTCAGCAAGAAATGTAAGGAAAATGGAAACTCGGGTGGAGGAAAACATCACGGCAAAAATCGTGGCACAAAAGAACGCAAGCAAAAGGAGAAGGGTAAGGACTCGCAAAGAAAAAGTGTGATCTACTTAATAATAATTTGTTTTCTCACAGGTACCCGACGAATTTCGTCTCACGATCAATAATCGTTTAAAATTAATCATATTCAAAATAAAAAAATCATAATCATATAAAACACACTACAAAAAGATTCAAAGCATTTTTTGGATATATGTATGTCAAAAAGTTTTGTAAAAACATATAAAACCTGGATTTACTCAAAGCTTTTAAAGGGGTTCTTTTTATTTGTTTACTAAAGGTTTCCAATTAGGAAGGCCTTAATTTTGCTTATAAAGATGTTAAAAAAAAACACAATTTACTTTGACACTCCTCTGGTTTAACAGGTATTGCGTGGTTTGATTTGAAATTGTACAAAAAAAGTCGAGCCCCCAAATAGTTTTTAGTTTTAAGAAAATAAATACCCTTCATAAACATACTAAGCTACTATTAGAACTGTTGAATCCACTACATCTTCCACCCTTGGTATACCTTCCAGCATTGCGTTCAGGGGGTATATATATTTTCAAATTGGTTAGCTGAGTAAGGGGTATTTTATAGTATGCTATTATTTTATCTACGTATGTGCAATAGGATAGGGTTCTGGGAGCATCCTTTTGAAGTAGTGATTGCTAGCTGGCAAGATGGCGGCTGGAGTATTTCCGAGCCAGTCTTTTGCTCCACTTCTTAGTTAAGGTAAGCCTGGCATACGCACCATTGAAATACCAAACTTTAACCTCAACTATAAATATTTTGGTCAATAAAAATTCAGGATTGCGCAACATGGCAGACAAGCAATATTTGTGGATTCTGATAAAAAGGTATTTTCAAAATATTAAATTATTTAAGGATACTCCTACCTATTTTAAGTTTTTGTGGATGAGTTGTTAGTTGGCTTTGGATTTATTTGACATTTACTTGCAGTCGAAAAAAACACGACCAATCGGCTGTCTGCGACAAAATTTCAATAAAATAATTTACACAGAAGAAAAAATTAACTCTTCCTTGGCTGGTCAATACAAAGATGTCAAATTTTATAGTGGCTTATTATTAAACTGAATACCAAACAATTGATCGGCAATTTGAGCGCCGAATAAATCTTCAAGTTGCCAATGCCTTCAATAGCCATAGTTCGTCTTTTAAATAAATGCCCGCGGATTGGTCGCAAGATTATCAACACGTCACGAGCGCTGACCTTTGGCCTATGGCGCACAATGGTCGAAACACTTCAGGTGGAGGCCGATGAACCGGCAGAAACTTGTGAAATTCAGAGGACGAGGACGAAGCCAGGCTGCATATCGTGCTTTGGATTCCGAACTCTTGTGCACCGCCGCAATGCAAGTGCATCTTTGGTATTCATTGTACACCGACGCTACTCGACCTATGAGAAGACGTCTGCGCAAATCCTATCGAAGCTCTTTCCCCAAACTTCTGGTGAGCCCAACGACGAGGAGTGTAGGAAGCGTCGCAAACGAGAGGAGGAGGAGGAAGTGAAGGAAATGGAGCGAGCTTGGAGCCGTATGAAACTAGGTTTTGCACTCTTTGGTATAGGAGGACTGCTGTTCTCCTCTTGGGCCATATATTACTTTGGCAAGCCAGCACTGGATAAACAGGGAAAGGAAGTTAAAGACGAGTTTAGTCAGCTGCCACTAACGCAGCAATACACTGCTCGGACCTGGAAGTCGGTGAACCACTTCCAACGATTCATACAGGAGCCGTCAAGTCAGAAGCTACTTCCTGAACCTCTTCAGGCGCCGTATGTGCAGCCGGCGTATACCTTAGTGCTTGAGATTAAGGACGTGTTGATACACCCTGACTGGACTTACGAAACCGGCTGGCGCTTTAAGAAGCGTCCCGGCGTTGACATATTTCTTAAAGAATGTGCTAAGTATTTTGAGATCGTTGTTTACACGGCGGAGCAAGGAATTACAGTGTTTCCACTGCTCGACGCCCTTGATCCAAACGGTTTTATTATGTATCGTCTGGTTCGTGACTCAACACACTTTTTTCAAGGACATCACGTAAAGAATCTTGACAACCTGAACCGAGACCTAAAACGTGTGGTGGTCGTGGATTGGGATAGAAACTCCACCAAGTTGCATCCTTCAAATTGTTTCTCGATCCCGCGATGGTCTGGAAACGACAATGATACGACTCTCTTTGATCTTGTGTCGTTCCTGAGTGTTCTGGGCACCAGTGAGATAGACGATGTCCGGGAAGTGCTGCAGTACTACAATCAATTTAATGATCCCATATCTCAATTCCGGGAAAACCAGAGAAAGCTAAGTGAGCAAATGCAGGCCGATGAACTGGAAAAGAATAGCAAAAAAAAGCTTGTTGTCAAGAATTGGTCCCGGGGCTTCATAAAGCATTAAAACGTTAAGGTTTTGATTTTTTATAATTAGCCAGGATAAATCCAATAAAAATGTTAAAGAAAAAACAATTTTTCACTTGATTGTTGAGACCCGTGTGGTTTTCATCCAGATCTTTCTTAATTAAATGTTGTTTTTGATATTGATGTAATAGGATCTGGTCAAAACGACGTAATTTTTTTGCGTATGATTAAGGGGGGGTATAGTTAATTCGGTGAAAAGTCATTTTTTAAAAAATTTTATTGGCGATACGAATAGTATCAGATGGAATCATCTGAAATGCAAAAATCCAATTGCATTAGTTAAAAAACAAGAAAGGAAAGCTAACTTCGGGCGGAGCCGAAGTTGATATACCCTTGCAGAATACTCTGTAAATTATATTCTCCAAAATTATTCATATGATGCATTTTTAATACTCATCAAAAATCCCAACTTCCTAACTTTAAAAACACCAATGTTATGTCATTTCCAATCGTTCAGTTATATGGCAGCTATAGGATATAGTCGGCCGATTCTTATGAAAATTGATAGGTCGGATTGATTGGCTAAAAATAAAACCCATAGAAAATCCCAACTTCCTAACTTAACAAACACCAAAGTTATAGCATTTCCGATCGTTCAGGTATATGGCAGCTATAAGATATAGTCGGCCGATTCTCATGAAATTCGGTAGGTCAGATTGATTGGCCAAAAATAAAACCTATAGAAAATCTCAACTTCCTAGCTTTACAAACACCAAAGTTATGGCATTTCCGATCGTTCAGTTATATGACAGCTATAGGATATAGTCGTCCGATCCCGGCCGTTCCGACTTATATACTGCGTGCAAAGGAAAGAAGGGTGTGTGCAAAGTTTCAATTCGATATCTTTAAAACTGAGAGACTAGTTCGCGTAGAAACAGACAGACGGACAGACAGACGGACAGACAGACGGACAGACGGACAGACGGACATGGCTATATCAACTCAGGAGGTGATCCTGATCAAGAATATATATACTTTATAGGGTCGGAGATGTCTCCTTCACTGCGTTGCACACTTTTGACCAAAATTATAATACCCTCTGCAAGGGTATAAAAAGAAAACTCGACAGCGTTACCTGAGAAATTTAGTTGACAACATCTGTGCAAAATTTCAAAACGATCTGTCCGATGGATTTTGCAGGATCGTGTACACCGACTTTGAAAGTTAAAGTTTAAAGTTTTGGACACCCATACAAAATGTTCTAACTTACCTACGATCAACTGCCCATAAGTTCGGATGCTTTACTCGGATCGATCTAAAACTTTAACACAATATTCTCAAGATGTTGAGCATTCAGAAAAAAAAATGCAAAAAAAAAAAATTTAATAATATACTCCCCTTTAAGGACAGTTAAATACTTGGCCATTCAAAAATAACTTGGCCAATAAAAAAGCAACAACACCACTCTCTCAGATACGCCCACTGGCTGATTTTTTCTCAATCCTAATCCAAAGTAAATGACAATCATTGTTACCGCAATTTAAATTCTTTTTGAAATCTCAATGGATCGGGTTATTAGTTATGAGCAGACCACCAGATTTTTCCGGTTGGGGCAACACTTTTTGTAACAATCGATAGTTCGGTATTAGTAATGAGCAGACAATGATACAATAACATAAGGTAGTCTCGTCGGCTGTCTAAACGTTCGGAAAAAAGAGCGCTGTGGGAGGAATTAAGAATCAGAGACAAAAACAACGCCTAATTTCAAATTCCAAATTATTAAAAATTAATTTATAAAAATAATTGAACTCCTTTTATTATGAAAGTCAAAAAAAAACCCTGATCCATTTAAGGGTTAATCCACACATTCTATTGTCGCTCTGCTCGCACTTACTAAACAGTTCCCATCTCACTCGCACTCATTGTTATAATAGTAGGGTACCAAAATTTTGCCGAAGAGACTACCTTATGTTATTGTATCATGTAGCAGATTTTTCCGGTTGGGGCAACACTTTTAGAAACAATCGATAGTTCGGCTCGTCCTTTTGCCAATCGAACTTCATTTAGTAAAAACCTTAGAAAAAGTTAAACATAAAGCCCAGTATCGGTTAAATAAGCTGAATTTTATAGTAGCGCGCTTGCACAGTTCTGAGTTGTTCGTCAGAGCGTCAGATCAAAAGGCGGCGAAATAGTAATTCCAAAATTGATTCGTTTTTCGTGGCTCACTGATCTGAAGGTCCAATTGTGGGAGAGAGATAAATGGACTGGGGGACACCACCAAATCAAAGGCGCTGCGATGATGAGTACCTGCTTCCTTTTCTGGCTTTGTCCATTTTTGATCAGCTGCTCATGGTGTTCTTCGTGGGAATCGCCTTCTTCGCCGTGTTCCTTGCGAAGATCCAGGTTCATCTCCCGTAGCCCAAATTCCGTGCCCAAAATATTGTACGTTGTACAAATTGTAATTGACATAAGCTTGCTGGAAAAAGATGTAAAAGAGTGGGTGAGTTCAGCATTTATAAGACATTTGGGTAAGAGCTAAGTATTAATTAACAAGAAATGAAGCAAACTTCGGCAAGCCGATACCCTTGCAGTTATTACAGATCGACTACATTTCGAGTTCTATGCCCTTATTATGCCCTAAAAACAATAAAACTATGTCGATTTTGCGCTGAATTTTGCCATCGTTTCTATGGCAGCTATATGATATTGTTGTCCGATTTTAATTTAATTAAAAACGTAAATCCATAATATTAAAATATTTCCAAATCACGAAGAACAAAAAAAAACAACAATGTTATAATTTGTATCCCCTTGCAGAGGGTATTATACTTTCAGTCAAAAGTTTGGAGCGCAGTGAAAGAGACATTTCCGACCCTATAAAGTATATATATTCTTGATCAGCATCACCAGGAGAGTCAATCTAGCCATGTCCGTCTGTCCGTCCGCCCGTTTCTACGCAAACTAGTCCCTCAGTTTTAAAGCTATCTGCTTGAAACTTTCCCAAAAGTTGTCTTTCAATTGCAGGTAGTATATAAGTCGGAACGAGCCGGATCGGGCGATCGTAATGTGGCTGGACTGACATTTTGTGGTTGGTTTCAGGAATCTATTATTGGATAACATGAAAAATGCAAAACAAACCAAAACAACTAAAATAATAAATGCAGGCCCTGAAGAAATCGCGTAACAACTTTTAGCAGTCAAATGTCAGGGGTAAAATGAAAAAATGTTCTTTGATGCTTTTAATTGGTAATATGCTTTAAAATTACTCCAGAAATTTTCACCCAGGAGGAGCAAAACCCCGTCAGCCCAGCAACATGTTGGTTTCATTAAACAGTGTCCGTGAACACGTGCTAAAACAAAGTTAAACGGGTAGGCCGTTTGAGCAACTCCCACACACATTTTTTATGGGAGTGCTTCCACAACCAACAATTACGCACTTCACACCACTAGGTGAGTCATGCGCAGTGTCGTTAGGGGAACTGCACACATTTAGAAACCTTAAACAAAATGTTGGTCAATCCTGCAGTATGTAACTAGTGCACATTTCTCAGGCGTGAACTTGATATTTTAGTTTTGGAACATTTAATATACTTGATTCTCTTGTGCACATATTTTCAAAAGGATATTTGCAAACCTCCGTGCGTCGCCTCAAAATATAAGGCCATTTGCTTCTCATGATAGGCACATACCGACATGGCGATTCCGCTGGGTTAGGTATACATAGGTATACTGAGAATAAGCGTGGAAATGTCAAAGTCTGGCTAATCAAGGCGCAGGCGTCGGATTTGCTTGGCACGTTGTCTGGCACTCTCTCATTTGGACTTGGCATCCTGAAAAGAGATGCACAGCATCCTTATGAGCCGTAGGGCAACTGAAAGAAACGCAACCTTCCTATTTACGAGCACAAGCTGCTCGAATCGCGAGCGGAGCCATTTCAGTTTGGTTTTGATGTAACGAACGGAACGTTTAAATATCGCGTCTCGTCTCAGTTGTACGAACTTAGGTGCCACTGTACACAATAGGGCACTTGGAAGATACTACAAAACGAATGACAGTGTGTGTATACAAGGATAAATGGTTTCGATTGTGTATAACCTACAAGATATTCAAATATGCCATATAAACAATGATATTTAAGTCTTAGCATATTACTGCCCAAATGTTTTAAGTTATCCTGCAAACTCACATAATGACGATATTTCAGTAGTTGTTACGACTGTAATCCTAAACAGTCTTCTATAGCTCCTGGGTTTATAACTAATAACAATCCTTTCCCTACCCAACTCGCACTATTTTGTCTGTTTGCGGCTATAACATATGCATATGTTTGCTTCAACAACCTAGGTCGAATTAGTCATGAAAAAGATTTTGACTTAAAGTATTGGCTTCGCATCCTTCACAGCCACACCCTAAAATGAGTATGTTTTTATTCACTGGGGGAAATGACTCAATTAACTAAAATAGCGTGGCAATACTAGCACAGACGAATAAATTTAAATATTTATTTAGGTATGACTAATAGCCTAGGCATTCGAAAAGATTGACACAGTTAAAACTAAAGAATAAATGAATGCAGTATTCATAGCCCTTAAATAATTGTTTTAGACATTAAAGTAGCTTGCCATTAAAGCGAACCAATAATGTATTTTTAAAAACAATTATCCGAAGGGATCCTTCCTTCTGAGCTTCACGCCCTCATCAATAAATTATTAACTTTACAACTCAAGTTTTCAAAGAAATTTTCCTTATTTATCACAGCCGATTTTCGAAGGCTTGTGCGAAGTCTGTAAAGAATGACCACTGAAACCTATTCTGACTTGACGTATGAGCGAGGAAAGGTGTCAAAACGGTCGTTGAGACCAAAGCTATTAAAATTAACAGATGTAACGATACCGCACCGCAATCGAAAAAAGAACAAAGTTAAGGTGAATATGCACAAAATTTAACCAGTCAAAATAAAATTTAACTCCTATTTTGATTTGTTTTTAGACCAAAGACCGCTCAGCTACTTCAGTGCGCGAGAGAATTTACGATGACCCGGCTTACACCGAGGATATAAGCCACTTGGCGAATCCTATGCGGCGGAATAGCATTTCCGGGAAGCCGTTATCAGAGCACAAGGTGAGGTCCGACACTTGTAACCATCCTTCGTCCAGCAGCCGGTCGGTCAAAAACCAGCTGACCAACGAGTTCCATGAGTATGTGACAGGAAAGCATAGCAAAACCAAGGCCTCTGCAGCCTCTGGCAGCACCGCCATCAGCTTAAATTACGAATGTGATTCGAGCAGCACTGACAATGAACCGCTGGTGCCAAGCAAAGGCAGCATGACTCGCCGGGTGCGCAGTCTAGAGCGCAGTCTTGTCGCCACTGCCTCAGAAAGAGTCGAAAAGAAGGGAACCCACAAGCGCAACTCGAAGCAGAAGCGGAACCTTAGCCTGGACAATAGTCGTCAGCTTCCTGCAGGCTATCCGCCACGGGAAACGGGAGTTACGAGTAAGCACGGCCACGATTTTGATATTAGACCCTGCAAGGAACGTAGTCGAAAGCATTTTGGCGAGGGCGCCACGGAAGTTGCCCCAACGGAAGTCAGCGAACTAGATGACGGGTACTCTGCCCGCAGTTCGGCTCAGGACTCTGCCGCCACAGTACATGGAGACTCAGCCGCGTCAAAGGTTGATATTGGCAAACGCTTTCTGCGCGGCGAAATTGGAATTAAAAGCTTTAATTACTATCTGATAAAGGAGGGCCTAAAAAGCTCAAAAAAAATAGTGGACCAACAAAGAAACTCCTCTGGTCTCAAGGCTGACAAACGACATTCCCGCAGCGAGGAGAACATCTACGAAGAGATTTTCTTTAAGGAAACTCCCAGCACGGTGAGCTCGACGGTCTCAGGTGCAGCAACCGGCAATGCAATGTCCGTTGCCTCGGCAATGTCTGACAAAGATGTTCACAACCATCGCACACAAAAAATTGGTGCTCAGCCACATGGAATGAGCGCAACCAGTGAAGGAAACGGAAGCGCTGTTGACGCATTTCCAGGCTGCGAGATCTGCATGGAGCAGTGCAGAAAAGACAACTGCGAGTACTGCTTGGCTCACGTTGGGTCCGTAGAAAGTGGCAAGCTGAAGGCGGTGCAGCCTCAGCAAGAGCAGTACGTTAGCCAGAGACACCAACAAGAGAACACTATTGAAACCCGGACACCGCCTACTGTTGATGCTGGGATCGGTTTGCCGGCTGCACATATTTTGGAGTTTCAGTCATACAACCCCAATAATCCAGGCGTGTACAAAATCGAGACGACCCCAGTAGCCATAACAGGCGACTATAATCCGATACTCCAGTTCCAGCAGTCGTCAGCGACTACGTCCACCTCAGCTAACACCACGCCCAGTGAACAGCAGCAGCAAAAGATTTATGATGGATACTACCTTCCGCACCAGAGGCCATACCAGTCTCCGATAGCTAGCAATCCGCTGCCAAGTCACTATGCAGTGGGTGACAGTCTGCTTTTGGCCCAAGTTGCTGGGCCGGCTTCTGGATGTGCGACTCCACCGCGCCGACCACAACAGCAGCTCTACATCGTGGGATACCAGAATGGTGGAGGGTCGGTCGCAGGAGCGGCTTCTTTGCAGAGACTAAACACGAAGTCTTCTTCCTCGAGCGACTCGCTGCCCTACCACAAATATAATACCATGGCGCGGCTAGAGGCAAACGTGTTCGCAGCACCAACTACTGGAGACTTTTACTATGCTGTCAGTGGAACGCAGCCGCTGCATCCGTTGATGTATGCTGCCAACCGACCCATAGGAGGATCCCAGATACTTGTTGACCCTTACGACCCCCAGATATACAAGAGCGACTCAAAGGCTTCTATTCTCAGCGAGTTCTCCCTTCGCAGCAGCGATAACTCCCAGCGCTACTCTCGGCATCCCCATCGGAGACATGGCGGGCGTGCCAGTGATTCGAGTCTCTTTTCCGTGTACTCAAACTCTGGCCAGACGCGATATTTTGGGAGCTCAGAGGGCAGGTTCGGATACGATTGTAGGCGCTGTAGCCTGGATGGGGTCATCGGAATGGGTTCCGCGGCTGGACTGCCCATGGCAGCTTCCGATAAGTGTAGCTATTCCGACAACTGTCGATACGAATGTCGAAATTGCGATTGCTCGTCAAATTACTTCAGCTCGGACTTCGACGATGTGTACGGATCGACAGTGCGGGGTGGAAGCAGTGGCATTCCGCGCAAGACTGCAGCAGGAATACTACCATCAAGTGGACAGGACGAGCCCGCAGAGCTCTTGGAAACCGGTCGACTATCAATAGATCAGCAGCAATACGCAGCTCCACTGGATCTAAAACAGAACAAATACGCGCAGGATTTTTTCAAACATGTTAACGACGTGAAACGCAGCATTTATCAGTCTGAAATGCAGAGAAACAATAGCTTAGAACCTACGAGACGGGGTCCGAGAGCCAGTAGCAACACAAGCAGCAATCCGAAAACAAGTCCCAAAGCCTCCCAGGAACCCTGGCAGGAGCCCGTAGTAACTACGCTTCCGTTGAGCAGAGGGCGACCGACTGCAGGAGTGAAGCCCACGCCTGCACCAAGAACGAGTCTACAGGGGCAGACCCCAATACCAGATGGTACCGTACCTAGTAAGTGAATCCTTCAAGACTCTTTTAAGCACATTAAAGATGCAATTTTTACAGAAGACCCCACGCCTAGCAAACGTAAAGGTCAACCGACTGGTCGGAGGGAGTATCCTTCTTTGGACCGACTCGTAGCGTCTTCTACGGGAACTATTCCTAAAAGGCACTACAAGACCATAGCGGAGACGGACTTACAAAGCCTTAAGCTGACTCCGAAGGCTAGATGTCTTGGAACTTATGATGCTGACAAAACCAATACTGCTGTCGATGAACAGATGGCTTTACCCCTGGTCAAACGGCACCATCGCACTAGCGGATCGAAGATACATCAAAACACACCCGGTCCCAGTCTACGCCGGAAAGACGTTCCGGCACCTCCTCCGCCTTCTCCTGCTACATATTCTGATCTTCAAGAGCTTAAGGCTAATATGGAGGGTCTTCAAGACGATACAAAGTCGCGAAGCTTGGAAATCGAAAATAACGATCTAGCGGTAGCTGAAAAGTCAAAGCAATCAGAAAAAAAAGTCGTGCTTGTTCCGTCTAAAAGAAAGCTGGAACCCACAACAGGTGGGCCGGATGCAAATGCAGCGGAGACTGATGATAACGACGTATTTTACGATGCACGCAGCGAGGACTCTACCTGTGGTATCTTGCCTTCGGAAGCCACTGTCATTTCGAAAAAGGTGAGCAAGAGGCTTTTATTCGTTTTTAGCGTTGTTACCAGCGTTACCAAGATTTTTATTTAACTAAAATTACTTTGATTCCTTTTAAGATTTAAACTCGCTATTACAATTTTTCAAGTTAGCACAATATATTAATAAAACCAAAGGACTTTTTTTTTATAGCCTTGCAGAAAAAAGTGTGCAACGCAGTGAGGAATACTCAATAAAGTATATACTTCTTTATCAGCATCACAATGCAAGGTAGCATTTCAGTTTCAAAGCTATCTGGATGAAACTCTAATAAAATTCGGTCGACTATATCTTCTATCTGCCTTATGAAACATTAGGAAAAGTTATTATAAAATTAATGGTTTTTCGAAATCACATAGCTGCCATAGAAACGATTTTCATATTTTTAATGCTTACTAGTTTAAAATACTATTACTTTTACGAAAACATTTTGTTTGCTAAAGAAAACTCAAAATTTATTTTTGGATTTATTAAATAAAAAAAATTTACTTATACAACAAAAGGGAAAATAAATAAATAAATGATAACTTCTGTCCGCAGGATATCATTTTCTAATAACTCGTTCAATATATGAATTACAGTCAAGATCCTTGGCTATGAATTTTATATGTCCAGTAAATTAAAACTTTCCAAGTTACCAGACACACATACATACATAAAACCCAGTAGTGTCGTTTTAATTGATTTGAGTCCATTGAATATGAAAAAGCATCGAGTGAAAAGGAAGATGAATAAGATTTTAATTAAATGATATTTTACAGAGTCCGTCTCACATGACACAGGTACTGGAGAACATTATTACCAACGAGAATCGCAAGGCCGCTAATGACATCGAAGTGGCGCATTCTGCCGAGGATGTCCATACCCAACCTCCAGCCGAGCCTGCGCTAGAGAGGCGGGAGCAGGCGTCCACCATCGCGGGCAAGCCGGAAGGGAATGCCATCAATAACGGCAGCGACAACACCGAGTTCCCAAAATGGGAGGTCGGAAGGCCGGCTGAGGCGCAGAGTCAACTGGACTCGCTCACATGCCTCCGTCCCCGGTCCCGTCTCCGTCCCCGTCCCTCGTCGTCCAAACTGCCCCCCGAATCCAGGCACACGACTGTGGGGGAAAACAGCGAAAAGACAAGCAAAACAAAACATGACAAGCAGACTCCAACAAACGCTCCCCGGCAACATGTCGTTCCAACATGTTTGGAGGAGCAAGGCACCGGCGGGCCAGCAACAAATGTTGCTCCCGGAATCTCAACAACCACCAACGCTGGCAACTTTAGCGCCAGCAACAGCGCAGTCGAGCTGGAGTTTAGTTGCAAGACGGGCAACACGGACAGCGCAACGATAGCGGCGAAACACAGGTACGCGACTTGGTCTACCCCAGCCTATAAATAAGCTTAAAGAGCCAGGAACTTGAACTTGTCGTGGCGAAGATGAAAATAATAGTGCACGGCAAGCACTTGTTGTTCGTGGGTGCTAACAATAAGAATGGCCAGATCTCTTGTCGAGTGAGTGTCATGGGCTTGGTACCTCCCAAATCAAAAGTGAAAAATTAGTGCACTTGAAATATTTACTATTATTAACCCGTGGTTCGATTTCAAAGTGGTTTAATTAGGCTAGTGAAGCTATTTGCATACCGCGAGAGGGCAATTGTATGCGCAGCAGCTCCTGAGAGTGCTGCTTTGCGCCACATTTGGTACTACCTTGTGTTAGCCTCCCCCTCGAAACTTCATTCGTCATGCGGCTGGAATCAGAAGTGAAATGAGGAGAGCCACTGTGCCAGATGTTCCCCCCAATTGCAATCTCAGAAAGCGACCAGTGAGCAGATAATTTTCGTATGAAAGTGCATTAAAGTCGTTTTTGAATCCTCTATCCCGAAATTTGTGGATTTTTTTTGGTGTGCAAACAAAACAATTATTCAAGTGCCTAAAGCATATCCTTTTTTATGGATGGCTTATTGTCCGTACTTTCTCGTTGCTCAGTGATTGATAGGAGAGCGTGACTTGAAGCAGTAAAGCTTTAAGATGATGTGGACTGTCACAAAGTGATGGTATTGAATTAATTTGATTGCCAAAGAACATGGAGCGAGTGAAAACCCCTAAGTTTGTATAATGGAAGACAAAAATAATAAACAATACCTTTAATGGTTCAATCAATAATTTCCAAAAAGCTTCGCCTCCTGGCCCTCGACAGCGTTCAGGCAAAGCCCTCAACATGAGACCGGCCCACATAAATCAATTTTGTCCTTTGTTTTCTTGTATTGTGTTTGGTATTCATTCATTTACCCATATACTTATGTGTGCACACCCGTATGTAAGTGCAACACAAACAACCGTACTTTGTGAATTGTCCCTAGGTTGAAAACAAGGAGAAAATAATAAGTTCATGTTATCGTGGTTTTACTGTCTCTTCTGTAAATTACAATACTTTCGCTAAGTGCTACTCTTTTTGATAAATACTTTTTTATCCAGTGTCACCACCCAAAGGTTTTCGGTCTAGGCTGAAATGGGTAATTTCAAAGCGCAGCTAATTGAAAACAAGTTCAACTTCCAATACAGAGCAAGAGCTTAGCCAGGTCAGAAAAGCAAACCAGGGCCAACGACAAATCAGAAACTGCCAGGCTCATACTGCCACATTTCGGGCAAGTATTTTGCGAAATTGGGGACGACCTTCAAAACCTTCAAGCTGAAAATAAAAAAAAATTGTTGGCGTTTTGCAATTGAGCTACTGTAAATTGCATGCAGCCTACCATTTGATAATTATGAACACGGTGCTCACCAATATGGTATACAAAATGTGAAACTTGTTTCCTATGGCCGCAACTTCATTTGGTCATTGGCTTTTAGTCAATGCCGCTGCAGCTTAACCAACGTTGCAATGTTACCACGTCTTGCGGCACCGAAGAAGCAGCTTCTTAGCTAGTAAAATGGCTAGTTGGCTATGAACGCAGTCGAAAGTGCAAGTTGACTAACAGGTATGCGAGATAATGCAATCGATTTACTAGTACCCGTCGTCATCCTCGCCCTCGTCCTGCTCTGCTGAAGACAAGTGCAGCTTAACATGATTGAAAACCAGTTTTATTATGCATGCCGCATATACAGGCGTAATTTTTTTATTTACGATATCCAAACCGGCAATCACTGCAGCTTTATAGACAGCGTGTTTTGCTAAAGAAATGCGCAAACATTTTTTAGTGGAAACTTTCGTCCTCTTCGATGTTATGTGCAAGTATTACAAAAAACAAAGGCAACTTGATTTAAAGTTCGAATAGCTTAAATCCATTGGAGGGCTTTCCTGTAGTCAAGACACTTCCGTACAGATCGTATTATAATTTTAGTTAGAAGTTTGTAACGCAGTAGTGACACGGGACATTTTTGAGCCTTTTTTTTCCCGACATGTACTGGCACACGTAAAATTTGTTTTCGAAGAAAATTGCGTATATTTCCTTGCTTTTTATAATAGCGGAATTACTTTTGCAAGCACGGAGAAATGAGCGGCCAAAAGCTCAGATATTTAAACTCGTCCCAAACAAATATGGGATGTATGTGCAGAGATGTAATTAACAGTATATTCCTTTGTGAGAGTGAGGTGCCTTCACTTACTATTACATTCGAGTGTCGGCAACATCCTTTTACGTCACGTATTGGTGTTTTGGATAACTATATGTTGCATTTAGTTCATTTAGGAAAAATTGAGTACTTCTATAATGCAAAATCTTTTGCACGTATTTTTATTCGTCTTTCAAGCTCCTAGCTCGAAGAACCTGAAGTGCAACACTAGAATCTAACCACATGAGTGGCAGCTCCAGTGCTTTAACCCGACAATGTGGATTTGACTGGGAATGTGAGCCTAAACCTCACACCCGGTGATCTTGCTCGAAAGTCGCCGTCACACATTCTGCGCAGATGCTTTAAATTATCGCTCGTTGGCCACATGTTGATGATCGAGCTGCTCCGGAAATCGTTTTCGAGTGTTGCCCAAAGAGATCGTTTGGCATTGGCAAACGCTGCAATCGATAGAAATTAAGATACTAGAGAAATACCTATTTTAAGAGCAGCTGAAAAAGTAACAAGCCCAAAGTTACCTAGTTAATGCAAGCCAGATTTTTCAATACAATTTTTTTATCGTTCCTTAAGGAGCTATATGATGCAGTAGTCCAATTTTTATAAAACTAAAACCCCACCTATTTGAAAAGTTTCATCCTAATGTTTTTGAAACTGAGGGACTAGTTTGCGTAGAAACAGACAGATGGACAGACGGACATATGCACAGACAGAAAATTTATGAGCCTCGAAGTGCAGTTTTTAGACTTTTTTCTGCAAAGTCATTTTTCCGAAAATTTACCCCATAGAAATGACGAAAAATTTACCCAAAAGAACGAACCAAGATTTGAACACAGATTTTTAGAGAATTAAAAAATAATCATTTCGGGGTAATAGAAAATATTGAAAATGGTTTCCGATTTATAATCATCTTGCTCAAATATTGTGAGAACTTTACAAAACTAACTTCTTAAACCTACATTTATGAAAAATCAGCTGAGATATACGAATTGAGCAAATTAATTGACGTTTTAAAAAAATGTTGTGGGCTGACGTAGAATGCTAGTAATACCCACGCACAGAAAGACTTCAGAACATTACCTAATAAGGAACGGCCAGGTATACTTACACACTTCTCGAAGTTACCACACGACTTGTCTACTTTCCAATATTTAATTCAACTGGTAAATGTATATTTTTCAAGTTGGTTTGCTATTTAAACATCAATGCCTTTTTAACAGAGTTTCAAGCATATAAGTGGGGTGCGTATACATAATATATATATATAATTATAATTGGACCTTGGTTGGGCACCACCAAAAATTGAATTGCAAGACTAGCCAGAGGAGCTCAATGCTTTAGCGACTCTTTTAATTCTACTTGGTCCACATTCAACAAATGCCAACGCTTCCAAAATTGGACTAGGCGTTGTAACGCCTACACAAACAACTACATTTTACAGATCGAGGCAATGAAACGAAGTTGGGTTTGTTGCTGGCAGTTGACCGTTTTGGAATGACAAGTTTTTAAGTGATTATATTCAAATGCCGAAATTGGAACGTTTGTGCTGAAGAGAGATCTTTGGATTTGTCTTTTGAGCCGCTCCAGTTGTCGGATCAGTGTATTCTGGCCTATGAGGCATCTAAGCCACTTAAAAATTCTAACACAAAAAAGGCATAGATACATGAGTTTTCACCGCCAGTCATCCATAAAAGAGGGAGTGAAATGCCGGCGAAAGCTGCTAGAGCTTTGAGGATACACTTAATGGCAAGAGTATTATATATAAAGATCCTTCCAGAATGCCCACATAAAGCTGGCTGGGAGTAACATGATGGGGACGCAGCCTGTCGCTTGATGTGCTAATCATAAAACTGTCATTGACACTTCTTTATATATGTTTGACATACTGTTACCCTAATTTGAAGTCAAGCTGTGCAGTTTTTCTTTTGAATAACACCCACCATGCATCTTGCAATGAAGGAATTCGTTTTGAAATAAAGCTTGTAATACATATATTAAAACTTGCCATAAAGTGTGATTATGGGAGTTTGTCTTGTTCTCCACGTATGATTTTCCAATTTTTGGGCGCTTTTCAATATATGACCCTGCGTGAATCTCCAAAATTTTGGTAGATAAATATTTGAGAGTACCTGCGGCGCTTGAGAAGTATCAGTATTTGCTAACAGATTCGTCGCAGTCACCAGTGGCAGTGGCAGCAACAAGGCAAAGCACTTACTTTACAGCTGGTAAAACGGCACAAACTGCAATGCCAGCGTTTACTGCTGCATCGGCGCAGATGTCAACGAGTTCAGGCGAGTGCTGAACCGTGTTCCCGGACATTGAACTGCTGTTTGAGCGCCGGGCTTTGGCCTGCCTTGATTGTCTCAGCCATTAAGACCGGCAGGCTGCTTGTACTTTTTGATAAGGGTTTCTAAGTCAATCCACTCTCATCACTTAGGTCCTCTTTGCTGGAGAACATTTCGGATTCAGGAAGTTTTAAAACCTCAATACAAATATCTTTTACAGAGATCAGACCCATTGCAAAACAGTAGCACTCAAGGACGCCTGTTTGGACTCCAGCGAGGCCCAATCGGACGATAGCCATTTGACACGCGATTCCATTACCCGGGAGTCCCAGAACGATGAGCTCTCTTCCTCGACCCACGAAAAACTAGACGTCAGCACACTACCGCTGCCCGCTCTCCCCAAGCGCCGTCGAACACGCTCCCGTACCAGTCCATCGAAACATCTGCAGCAGCGTCTGCAGCAGCAGCGTCATGAAGCCGTCGAAGATGTCAATGCTGCTGATGAAACACCCGCAACAGCAGTCCATCAGCTACTCAACCCACGTCAGCGACCAGTCACTCCAGAATTCGAAAAGTCAGAGATAGGCGCGCAGAAGAGCAACGCAGCCACCCAGCAGCAAAAGGAGCCGAATTCGCCACAGCAGCAGGCACACCTCTCCGCCTTCCAGCAGTACGTTGCAAAACGACGAGAGAGTCTCGAGGCATCCAACCGCTGTTTCAACGAGAAGCTGGAGGCGCGCAACATGCACTACCATATGAGTAGCAGTGGCGCGAATGAAAACACTACGGGCTCTAACGGAGTGCCCACGTATCTATTCGGAGAACACTTCCATGGGGTGACCGGCTCTGGGCGAAAGTCCATATCGCCCGCCACCACCAAGGAGGAAATATTCCTGAACAAGTCCGGATGGGTGCAGGTTAACACAAAGCGGGGGAGCCAGAAGGATGACAGCTGTGACTATCGCCGGCTCAGCTATAGCCAGCAAAATGGAGGAACACTCTTCCCGGAAAATGGAAGAGGCCGAACTGGGGCGCGGGCGATTCCTCCGGACCATGGGCGTCTCTTAGACTTGGCACGGCAGTCTTTTATTCAACAGCACCAGCCACAGCAGGCCAACGTTGGCATGACTGAGCCGAAGTTTGTCGGATCCAAGGTGGAGGAGCTTATACAGAGAAACGAAGCCCGGCTATGCGGTCTCTCCTCACGGGACCCTGCGCTCCGCCCCGGTTATCGGATTATCGATCCCCAACTAGCGAACATCCTTAACGAGCGGCCTGGATTTTTACCAGTAAAAAGCCCGAACGATCTGGACTCCCCCATAACTCCGATTCTTTCGCCACCACCCGCTTTCCAGGACAACAGCCGTAGTGCGCGTCATCCGGACCGTCGCAAGCCCTTTCGCCAGCAGGGTTTGCTGCCGCTGCCTGTGCCACTTCAGACGCAGACCCAGTTGGGCACTCAGCAACCAAATCCTGGTTCCAGCAAGGGCATGGTTTTTTCCCGCAGTTTTGAATATGACACGCGCCGTCCCACGCCTACCGACAGCTATGTAGAAACGTTTTCCCGCAGCTTTGATGGAAACCTATCAGAACGTCCGCTGAACCTGGCAGTGCTATCAAGCGAACGGGAACGGTCGCCCAACTTCAGCACCCTGACCGGCAACTCACCTAATTACCTTACGAAGCGGGAGAGCGGCGGTGGCAGCAGTGGCTCCCTTCGCAGCCGCGACAACTCGCCGAAATACTTGCATCCGCAGACGACAACAGCCTACATGAATGCCGCTGTGAAGGAGGCGCCTCCTGTCTACAGCGCAGACCTCGGCAGTCAGGCTAAGAACTCCCCGCGTTCCCGTCACGAAAGGACTGCTGAGCGATCCAAGAACCACGCACTAGGACGTTCCCGCAAGTCCCATTTCAGCCGGGTGGGCAGCGCCGGACCTCTGGCAGCGCATTCCAGCCCGCCTAATACGGTAGTATCGCGTTTTCGAAGCTTTGATACGTCGAAGAGCCAGCGCCTCAATTCCTGTGACAGTGGCGCGAGATCAGGTCAGTCAAAACCTTATTAATTAAATCTTATTCATTTTTATACCCTTGCAGAGGGTATTATAATTTTGGTCAAAAGTGTGCAACGCACTGAAGGAAACATCTCCGACCCTGTAAAGTATATATATTCTTGATCAGGATCACCTCCTGAGTTGATATAGTCATGTCCGTCTGTCTGTTTCTACGCAAACTAGTCTCTCAGTTTTAAAGCTATCGAATTGAAACTTTGCACACACCCTTCTTTCCTTTGCACGCAGTATATAATTTGGAACGGCCGGGATCGGCCAACTATATCCTATAGCTGCCATATAACTGATTGATCGGAAATGCCATAACTTTGGTGTTTGTAAAGTTAGAAAGTTGGGATTTTCTATGGGTTTTATATTTGGTCAATTAATTCGACCTACAAAATTTCATAAGGATCGGCCGACTATATCCTATAGCTGCCATATAACTGATTGATCGGAAATGCCATAACTTTGGTGTTTGTTAAGTTAGGAAGTTGGGATTTTCTATGGGTTTTATTTTTGGCCAATCAATCCGACCTACCAAATTTCATAAGGATCGGCCGACCAATCCTACAGCTGCCATAAAACTGAACGATTGGAAATGCCATAACTTTGGTGTTTTTAAAGTTGGGATTTTTTATGAGTATTAAGAATGCATCATATGAATAATTTTGGAGAATATAATTTACAGAGTATTCTGGAAGGGTATATCAACTTCGGTTCCGCCCGAAGTTAGCTTTTCTTTCTTGTTTTTACTGTTCATGTTCGTCTGCCCCAGCGGCCGTGTTTTCGGCAATTTGAAGCCCGTTCCTCGTAGAGTAAAAGGGTATATTGTATTTATTGGAAATTGTATAAAAGGTTGAAGGAATCATTTCTGACCCTATTAACCATCAGCTGGAGGCATATTTATTTTAAAATTTGTTAGCTGAGTAGCAGAGTCGATGCATTCGAGCATTACTCCTTATTTAAATCTGTCTTCATAGGCGGCATTTCCTTTCTTGTGCCCACATCAGCGACCGAAATTCTGCTTTACAATTTTTTTGACAGATCTTTCCAATGATGAGCTGGACAACGAGGATAGCGGCCTAAGCGAGTTTCTTGCTTCTGTGAGCCACAAGTTCCCCAAAGTCGGAACGAGTAGCGTCAGCATCTCGCCATTCAAGATGCAGCGCCAAAGGTCTCTTACACCAGATCGCAAAGAGTTCCATAGCTCATCCAGCAGTATACGGAAGCAAAGATCGCTGACCCCCGAATCCAGGTCCTTGACACCAGAGGAGCGACGCAAGAAGGGGTCGCAGGTCTCGTTAACCGGCTCCCGTCAGAATTCCATCTCCAAGAGCAACACGTTGGAGGCCCGCCAACGGAACGAAGAAAAAACGCCGCCCAACATATCGCGTAGCTCCTCCAGCTCCAGTTACAGTGGCGGCGATTCCCATGAGCACCACACTGCCAGCACCAGCTTGACTGTAACAGCCTCCACCGCCGTTCCCGGAAGTGTTTTCACCACTCAACGACGCGCAATAGCCGCCAAGCAAGCGGAGCAGGAGCACCGCATCCGTCGCTCGAGGTTGGTAAATGCATCTAATAGTTGTTTGTTTAAGAGACAATAGCAGGTTCTTTTATATGTCGAAGATATATTATTATACCCTTGCAGAGGGTATTATAATTTCAGTCAAAAGTTTGCAACACAGTGAAGGAGACATTTCCGACCCTATAAAGTATATATATTCTTGATCAGCATCACCAGGAGAGTCGATCTAGCCATGTCCTTCTGTCCGTCCGTCTGTCCGTCCGTCCGTTTCTACGCAAACTAGTCCCTCAGTTTTAAAGATATCTGCTTGAAACTTTCCTTAAAGTTGTGTTTCTATTGCAGGTAGTATATAAGTCGGATCGGCCGACTATATCCTATAGCTGCCATGTAACTGAACGATTGGAAATGCCTTAACTTTGGTGTTTGTTAAGTTAGGAAGGTCGGATTTTCTATGGGTTTTATTTTTGGCCAATCAATCCGACCTACCAAACTTCATAATAATCGGCCGACTATATCCTATAGCTGCTATATAACTGAACGATTGGAAATGCCATAACTTTGGTGTTTTTAAAGTTAGGAAATTGGGATTTTTTATGAGTATTAAGAATCCATCATATGAATAATTTTGGAGAATATAATTTACTGAGTATTCTGCAAGGGTATATCAACTTCGGCTCCGCCCGAAGTTAGCTTTCCTTTCTTGTTTTTCATTAAATTGTCCTACAAAATATTATTAACGGCCATACAAATTTAAACAGTTTTTTTTACCCTTGCAGAGGGTATTATATTTTTGGTCAAAAGTGTGCAACGCAGTGAAGGAGACATCTCCGACCCTATAAAGTATATATATACTTGATCAGGATTACGTCTTGAGTTGATATAAGCATGTCCGTCAGTCCGTCTGTCTGTTTCTACGCAAACTAGTCTCTCAGTTTTAAAGATATCGAATTGAAACTTTGCACACACCCTTCTTTCCTTTGCACGCAGTATATAAGTCGGAAGGGATCGGCCGGGATTGGCCGACTATATCCTACAGCTGCCATACAACTAATTGATCGGAAATTTATTTGCGTCCGCACGTTAGGCTAAAAGTAGATTTTAAATTGAAAAGTTTAAAACGTACTTTAAGCTCAAAATCGGTCTTAAATTGTTAATTGTATTGTATTATCCCCTTCCTCACAGATCGTTACAACTCACCGAGCGCTCTCCAAATCGAACGCACAAATCAATCGTCAACGTTAGTGCTGTGACCGCCCAGCAGCAGCAGGCGTCAGGATCCTCCTATCAGCAACCCCGTGTTTCAGGCGGAGGAGTGTTTCCAGCCACTATTCGAGGCTCTCCAGCCGCGGCAAAGATTCATGTCAACCCGCCTGCGCCGTCCAGCAACTCGGTGAGAGTCCGACAAAACGAGAAGGACAAGGCTCGATCCTTTGACTTCGATTACGACAACTACAATCGCAGTGGAGGTGCAAATAATTCAGGCCGGAACGCTCACACGAGTGGCAGCGGAGGGGAATACGGAAGCACCCAAAATCTGCGGGTTGAGTCCCGCTCCTTTGACGACGACTTTCGCGAAGCAGTGCCCAACAATAACAACGGCAGCAATGGGAGCGTCAGCGTAAGCGGGCTGCGGTTCTTACAGACTGCCACCGATTCCGGACACGTGTCGATGGCCTCCACGTCATCGTCCCGCCTGCGCAAGTCCAACTCTCCCGTTAATGCATCTGGCATGGAGTCGTCGCGCTCGCCCCAGTCATCAGGGTCCTCGTCAAACAATCTCCACCAGCCGACTAGACAATCGGGTAGCCCTCAGAGTTACGGGACGCGTCTGTGCGACCACGAGTTGACCTACGAAATGATGCGAAAGTCTCCGATCATGAACTTTCGCCGAGGAGACAGCAGTGACTACGAACTGCCGGTAATGCTTCGGAACAGAGAAACCATCAACTCCGGGGGCAACAGCGAACTCAACTTTATGAGTAACGAAACGCGAATCTACGAACACCCGACAACCGTGCTGAAGCCGCAGCGCTCGTTACGCCAAAGTCCGGGGTCACGGGACGACCTTACTCTAGAGGTTGCTGTCGGAGTGGGTGGCGACTACATTTACAGGCAGCCGGCCGCCCAACCGCGAAGCAGCAGGTACTAAAGCATCTCTACGGCTAAGGCACTCAGCAACAGCAAAGTAACAGCGAATCCCTGATAACTATATATTAACCTACTCTTCGAAGTAAACTGCACGCGGGCCGAAGTCGGAGGCCATTATTTAAACCAAAATCACTATCCCCTAAAGTACTAACCGACCAAAGAAAACACCCGTGCATATGTGTATTTGAGAGACTGCTTATGCATACAAACTAATCCTTGTACTAACCGAATTTATAAATTGTGCGGTGGTGGCAACCTTACTCCTTACATTATTTTTCTACGGTTGGCGACCCGATACATAAATACACGTGCTATCATAACTTAAAACTAAAATGAAAAAGAGGCATTTTAAGAGATCCAAAGTAAGCAGTCCCACCAAACATAAATACATCAGAGCTCCCATCTTTGGAGCAACGACTAACACCAAAGGAGTTTCTTGTGCCTGAACTTATGTGTTTCGTGTTGTCCTCTAGGACAACTACGGCCACCACCAAAAGCTGCAGCAAGACTCTGGATACCTGCGATTATTGGCCCAGATGCGTGGCCTGTCAGGAAGAAAGGGCTCCTGGAGCAATCAAGAGGCACCAGTCCTTGTCCAGCGTATCTAATATCGATCTGGTCACTTCAGTGACTGTTAACGAAGACACCAAAGTCGTGGGCACAAAACAGGCAGGCGAAGAAAAATCCAATCCGTCGTGGACCTTCTTGTGTAGCGGTATTGCCAGTATTTGCCATCACTCGGAGACGAAGGAAGTTGAAGAGAAAGTGGTCCAAGGAGCGACAGAGGAGGACGATATTGTGCTCAGGTGAGTTTCGCTCTGCAGCTTCTGAAGTGACAGATTGGAACCAAGTCCCCTGCTCTTGCTAATGGCTTCAACTGGCCAAGCCATTAGCGAATGACAAGCTCTGGCAGGCGGCAGGCTCAGTAAAGGGGGTCTAAGTACCATCAGACATGACAGATAACATTAAAATTGAGTGGCGACAGCGGAACGAGATTGGATACTGTCAATAATGGATAATAGTCATCAATATGATATTTTTCCTGTTTCAGTTACACCCAGGACCGGCAGGACCAAGCGAGGGTCGTAAGCGACATGTGCCACAGGAGAGGACGCTGTCGGTCTCTGCCAAGTCAGAAGCTGCGGAGACCCCAAATTACGGGGTAAGACTCTTCTTTTGTGAATTTTGTTTTTGGATACTTAAGTTAGCGCTTGGCACGTTTGCAAAACTCGAAAATAACGGGAAGTCTGCTGCGCGCCATTACTGTCACTGTTTATTAAGGGGTTATCCGGGTCTTGGAGCACGAAAAAAAGCCTATTTTCGTAAAATTTTTTTAAAGATCTTATGACAATTTCACAAATTTCATTTATTGTACATTAATGTTTATGGTTTGACCAACATTGTGTAAAAATTTGAACCAAATATTTTTAAAATTGAGCCGTTGAGGCAGGCTTGAACTTGACCTCATAAAAAATTGTGTCCTTGCGGTAGGCAAAATATCTCCGCCAATTTTTGTCTGATATCAAAAAAACAAAATTATTCTGATAGTGTATGTGTCTGGCTTGTCCTCTACGAGACATTTTTTTTTAAAATTAAAAATTGAATTTTTTGTAGCGCTTTTCATAACAAGAAAGGAAAGCTAACTTCGGGCGGAGCCGAAGTTGATATACCCTTGCAGAATACTCTGTATATTATATTCTCCAAAATTATTCATATGATGCATTCTTAATACTTATAAAATATCCCAACTTCCTATCTTTAAGAACACCAAGTTTGTTTGATCGTTCAGTTATATGGCAGCTATAGGATATAGTCGGCCGATCCTTATGAAATTTGATAGGTCGGATTGATTGGCCAAAAATAAAAGCCATAGAAAATCCCAACTTCCTAACTTAACAAACACCAAAGTTATGGCATTTCCGATCAATCAGTTATATGGCAATAAAATTTTGGCCATATTTTGGCTTATAAAATGAGTTGTAATTAAAAATTTAAAAATCCATCCGTTAAGGATAAGAGAATTATGTCTAAAAGAAGTGTGCAAAAGCAGAAGTTGATCGGTGCAATAGTTTTTGAGAAATCGTGACTACCGACTTCAAAAAAGTGGTTTTGAGAAAAACGCGTTTAAAGTGCCGCATCTGCCCGACGCCAGAGCCCGAATGGCCCGTTGTGACGTTCGACGCGCTGGGCTTTAAATTTCTCCCATTCCTACAGTTTTGCTTCGATCGACTTGAAATTTTCAGACAACAACTTGGTACTATTATATAAAAAAGTTTGAAAAAAATGAATTTTTTGAAGTGTCAAGACCTGGATAACCCCTTAAACTTAAAGAGATCTATGCTCAATTAATCGTCTGAAGTGAACAGCTTATAAGGGCGGTCCTCAGGGGACTAGATTCCAGCTAGATGCTAGGCGTCAGACTATTGAATTTTCAATTGTGCTATTACCGTCCAAATCCTCTTTTCACATCCGAGGACGACGCGACAAGGCTCAGGGAAAGGACCTTCTCCTTTCAAACGAATAACTGGTGGTGCCACAGCCTCCCATGTCGTGCTGCTGAGTTCAGCGACCTACTGCTCGACTATACTTAAGGCACAGATTTGAACAGCGTTCTTAGTCGTGTGCATCTCCCACCACTCTTGCCCATAGTCCTTTACTTGGTCCATAAATAAGCAATGAAGTTGTCTGTGTGGAAGCGTGTGTTCGTGCCGCCAACAACCAGCAATGGCTAAAAAAAAACCGGCGAGTATTGACAGAGATGACTTTTGTCACGGAATTTCTGCAAATCAGTCTATTCAAAAAGCCTCAAATAATATGTTGCATATTTGGGGGAGGGCACTGTTGCCAAAATTATTGTATACTTTGATTTCCAAGCATGCGCATTGAATTGGCCATTTATTTTATTGCGTAAGTCCGATTATATGCCAACTTCCGTATTTTGTGTTGACTGAATGGTTATGGTTATGCTTAGTATTTTGTGCAAGCTTATCCTTTTTTGTTTGGGAAATTAATTAGTAAATATATTTTCCCTTTTACTTACAAATTTTTAAGAGTTTAAATAATAATGTTTTACTCTGTATATAAGTTGTCCGACACCTAATTTTTAAATATACCGCGCCAGGCAGACTGTCAAGATCCATGAAACGTACCCTGGTGCGAGTCTTCGCTAACTGCAAGTCTGCGGCACGCCTTTTGGTATATTTTTGTAAATATTTTTAAGAGAAAACGGTATTTTTGTAATGCCCACGCACGGTCGCACTGGGTATAGCAATAAAAAATAAAAAAAATTATAGGTGTAGCAGAGGAGCTCGGAAAGTTAGAAAAAAATGCAGTTATAAATTTCAGTGAAGGTGCGCGCGTCTTTCCACCTCATCGGTTTACGCAGCTGTTTGGCGTCGTTTTTGAGTCGACATCCAGCAATCGCCCACATCCCAGGGTTTATAAATAAGATAAGCTTGCCGCGGCACTCCAACTCGGTACCCAGTGTAAACTAAAAGTACTGAGATCCGTGCAATTCTGAAAAACGTTCGTCTTGCCGGTCACGAAACGCAAATCCCCAATCCCAAACCAAGAACGTGGGCGTCCGCGAGTGTGTATCTGTGTATATATGTACTCAATCGTTCTCGGGAACGCTTGGGCAGAAGCCAAAATGTGTGCCAGCGCATAGGGAACAGAGCAACGCAAATAGCGCATCTAAATAAGAAACCAAAGGAGAAAATCAATAACACCGAACCAAACCAAAGCAAAGCAAGTTTATTACGCAAAACGGCGAAAGCACATGAGCAAAAATGTCTACAACGACAATAAGTTTTCCCCGGGCTGCAGTGCAGCAAGATTGCGACACGGCAACCGAAGCAGCCGAGTGCGAGGACTTCCTCGTCGGGCTGGCGGGCGCCGAGGACAGCAGGCTGACGGAAGCGTCGGGTACGGGGCCCCAAATGGCTGGCCCAGATAGTGGGCGTGCTTCGGCTACCGAGTTCGAGGGTGTTGCCGAGGAGCCCGCCGTCGTGACGGTACAACTGAGGGAATCCCCACCTCCCAGTGAGGGTATCTACGCCAGTCATGGCTCCCATACCACCTGGTATCTGCCAGTGGCGCACGAGCCCAAATCTACTCAGGCAGGCACTTCGCAGGAATGCAATGGATCACGTCCGGCGGCTGGCGGAATTCAGGAAGCGGACGCTGCTGACAATTTGTCAACGAGCAACAGTGGCGAGTAAGTTCGTTCTATAAAAACATGCACCTGGCATTGAGTTTGAACATGTTCCCATGTTTCTACATGATCGACATTAGATAATGACGATTTGAATATTTATTAATAGTCAAGCTAATTTTATTCATCCATATTATTTGGTAGGTTTAGACTCCAGATGAAATGTAAATTTTCCTTCGAATTAATTATCTTTTAAAAAGTCCAGTAGTTGTGAATAACAACTCAACTATAAATTTGTAAATGATGATTTTAAAATTCTGGTAGAATGATCAAGCTGTATTCGCCTGAAGCAAACAAATTCGGAGTACAAGCACCTTTAAATAAAGTCTGCCTTAATATCCGAGGAACTTAAATATTTCTTAGAAAGTTATATTATTATTGATGCATTTCTCTATTAGTAGTTTTTATTATTGTCAAAATAACTTTTTTATTTCCTAGTAATTTTAATACTTATTTAAAACAAATCCTAAATCGATATACATAACTTTTATTTAACATACATCGTCAATTTTGAATCGTCTTGATATAAGCGTAAAAACAATAACGTTTTCGTATTCTATTACCGTACTAATTTCGCGGCTCATTGACCAATTATTATTCCAACTCCTGCTTTTTGGTCGAGTTCCTTTTGACGTTTACCTTGCTTTTATCCTGCCCCCCCTTGCGGGGCTTACCGGGTTAATCAGCTGTATGTAATCGGCTCTTGACCTGTTGAGTCTGATGTAATCGCTTAGTCTTGTTTATAGATTTCCCTCACGTCACGTGCATCCCAGCGTTTACTTCTGGTCCGCCCTGCTGGTACATTTGATTCTTCTTGTTTGCGGGTGATTGGCGATTCGACTGGCTTATTTCGAGCACATATTTCGACTATCTCTGCCTATTTTTATACCCTTGCAGAGGGTATAAAATTTCAGTCAAAAGGAGAGTCGATCTAGCCAGGAGAGTCGATCTAGCCTTGTCCGTCTGTCCGTTTCTACGCAAACTAGTCAGTTTTAAAGCAATCTATTGTAGTTTAATGTCTCCAAAAATTTGTGTTTTCAGTTCAATTTTTATTTTTGGGTCGATTGAATCCCACATTCAAAATGTGAATTATAAAATGGAAATTATCTGCCTTAGTCTTATTTATTTAAATCGAAAGCTGCAAAATGTAATGTAATTATTAATATTGTGGACGGCAATCCACGTAATGACGTATCTAAAATTCTGTTTAAAATGGCTTATTCCAGCCAGACCTTATTCTGATCATCGAAATCGAAATATAGAATATTTAATTTCAGTTACAGCTGCAATGGTATATAAACTTGGACCGGCCGAAGTTTGCTTCCTTTCCTGTTAGTAATGAATGCAAAATCTGACTATTTACTGTTGTCACAGCGTCAAGCTTTGCTTTGGTTTTTACGGTTTGTTTAATCAAGAGATTATAGAAGCGGGAACAAATGTTTGTTTACTTATAACTGCTTTTAAGTCAGTTATGAATTGACTTAAGATTGCGTCCGATATGTGACTCGCTGCTTTTCGTCACCAACTAAAAAAAAATATTCTAGTGCAAACTACATTCCGATCAGAGTTGGAGTGCTGGTGGTCATTTTATGGACGTCTGAAACAAAAGCGGCGAAATCCTTTGTTTTGGTATAATAAGTTGCCGATTTTTTTTTTATCAGTAAAACTTATTTTCAAAGTGTTTTGTTGCATAAGACCAAAATAAGTGACAGAAAAAAAATGGAAACATTCTGACTCACTGGACTGGACAACTACTCCAAACTTGGTATATATCTACCCAAACTATCCAAGAATGTGTTCTTAAAATTTTGGAAGCAAATTCGAAATATTTGTAAAGTTACAGAAAACAAAGTGAGCAAAGCGTTACGATTTTTTATATTCGAAAACTTTGTGGTGCGATTTCTCGGTTTTTCATTTTTACGATTTCTTCTAACTGGCGGGAAAGATAG